TAACAGAAATTTTAATGGGATAGGTTTACAACAAAGACAGCAAAGCTTAAGGTTCAGGCCCCTTATTCACATGAGGCTTTCAAAAAAAGTCTCTAAAAATGTTGTATCATACTTTTGCTTGTTTATTTATTTAGTTAGTTTTAAAGTTCCAGCATATTTTTTGCTATTAAAATATACATAACATAAAACATGTATTTTAGCCATGTTTTAGTGGACAGTACAGTGGCATTAAATAAACTTGCACATGTACCTATCACCACCATCCATCTCTGGAATCATTTTTCTTCCCCAGAACCTGATAATTTTCCCAAACTGAAACTCTGTTCCATTAAACACTAACTTCCTATCTGCCTTCAACCTGTTCCTTTGGGCTCAGGCCATGATTCTGGAGTCACTGCCTGGTTTCCTGGGACAGCTGACCACCTGACCAACCTCATCCACCTGTTACAGACTCCTAGGAAGATGGTATAGTGATGAACAGCAGAGAAACAGCCTTCCAAGATTTAGTGTTTAGACAGTTGAACATAAGAATGTGAAGAAGTAAAGCCCATGAGAGTGAAGAAAGACCAAGGGAGAAGAAGAGAGAGTATAAAAAGAAGGAGGCATCCAATGGCACTTTCTCCCTGAACCCTGACTCACTGTGTGGGAGGGGTGGCTTGAACCTGCAGATGCATGGTGACTACCAATGACCCCAGTTGCCTCCAAGGAGAAACACACCAGTGGAACAGAGCAGTGGACGTGGAGGACTGCAGTGGCTGGTGAAGTTATTCACGTTCAGTTACCCAGGAGTGGGTATTTGGCTGGTAACCATCTTGGTAAGAGGCCAACTGAGCTCTGAACTCACAGTAGCTGTGGATCAGCTATCAGGCTGAGGTAGAACTCAGTTCAAGTCAGCAGGAGGTCAAGGAGTTGAGTTCAAACTAACAGAAGCACACAGAGTGTTGCAGGCTGAACAAACTGTGTTCCAGCCTCACAGCCAGAAACCATCCTGAACTAAAGGTGCAGACTTGCTGGGATCATCCACTGCCCCACTGCAAATCTATGGCTGGCTTGCTGGGATTAATCAATAAGGTTCTGGGCTCTGTTTGCCTACTCTGTCTACCAGTGACAGCAAACACACACCCTGAAGTGGACATTTTTTTTTCTTCTTTTTTTTTACTTGTTTTGCATTCTTTTTCTTGATCTTGTTTTTATATGTGTGAATATTGTTTCTAGTTTTTTTGTTCTGTTCTTGTTTATATTTCTTCCTTCTCTTTCCCTCTTATCTTTACCAGTTTCCCAAAGTTCCCAAAATTTCCTTTGTCCTCCAGCCTTGCTTCTAATCTCTTCCTCTTCTCCTCCTAATCTTTTTAAAATTTTATTCTCTGAGGATAAATTTGTCATACTGAGAGCACATTTACAGTACACAATTTTCTGGTTCATTTAGATATTGTTATGTAACCACAAACCAAGATCATACAAGGTGGCAAATTAACAGCTATCACAGTTTGTCATTTCTAAGCTGTGTTTGATGCTATTGTTATTGCTGATGTACTACTTTACCCAAGGTGACATAATTTTGTTCTAATCAGTTGTTCTTGGTATACCAAGACTGAGACTACTTAAGAGTCAAAAACTATACTATAGCCCAGTACCAAAGAACCAAGAGATAGTTCAATTAGGCAGCAACTTCTCATTCCCAATAAAATGAAGAGGTAGAATCTTGCAAGAGACTCAAAACCTGAAAGTCTGCTACACCTGGAAGACATCTCTGAGAAGTAGTCATTTCCTAAAGATTCTCAATACAAGCAATAAAGCTACTCACTATATGCAATTTACAAGCATCAACTCAGAAATTAAAGTAAGAAAAAAATTAGAGACTTAAGCAAGATGCAACTTAAAACTTCCAGCTCACCAAATGCAAACCCAGGGGGCAGTGAAGTGGAAGAATTTGAGAGCAACCACCCGGACTCTTGAAGTGGCAGTAGCAGAAGTAATGGAGCAAATGCATGAGGCTGTAGAAAAAATTAAATCAGAAACAACCTCTCATATATCTACAGAAATGATGACCATAGTGGAAGACATAGTGACTCTAGGGCAGATATAGATCAAAAACCAGAGGAGTTTAGGAAAATAAAAGCCCAGCAAAGAAATGGAATCCATGAAAAAGATTCAAACATATCCAGGAGATTAAAAATTCCATCGAAAATACACACAGCAGAATGAACCAATGTCAAGACAGAATATCAGATCTAGAAGCAGGATTACAGTTAAAGATCATGCAAAAGACAGATTTCTTTAAAATAGCAAGAGACCATGAAAAATCCACCACCAAAAGAATCATTGTGCTAGAGGTTTAGTGGAGGGAAGGAGGAAAGAGGGATAGACATGCTGAGAAACCATTTATACAGTTATTTAGCATCTTGTTTAGATCCAAATGCTCACTTTCTCAAAAAAGTTTTCTAGGATGGGTGCTAAAGCTTTCTACCACAGAGGGTATGTGTGTGTGTGTGTGTGTGTGTGTGTGTGAGAGAGAGAGAGAGAGAGAGAGAGAGAGAGAGAGACAGGGTCTCACTATGTGGTTCAAACTGGCCTTGAACTCATTCTGTAGCTCAGGCTGGCTTTGAGTTCTCAGCAATCCTCCTGCCTCGGCCTTCTAAATCCTGGGATTATAAGCACGCTGAGAGTTACAGAACACCATAGAGCAGGCTTAGCAAGGCTCTATGGAAAATAGTAGAAGTCATTTCCTCACTGACTTTGGGTTGTCTACATGGCCAAATACACCTAACCATATATCTAAACCAATAGGCTTCATTGTTGTGGCTAAGCTTTAACCATAGAAAAGCAACACATCATCTTACTAATGATCTTAGCTTTTGCACTGTGTTCCTTTCCAAGTCATTATCAGGAAAAGATCACCATGCAATCTTAGAAAAAGTTGCCACAGAGGACATTTTCCCTACACAAGAAACAAAAGAAAATGAGGAATATGAATTTAGATGCTATGTCACTAACTGGGAGCTGGGAAGGCTGGCCAAGGATGTACCCTGGAGAGGACCAGAGCAGCGGGCAGGCAGAATCAGACCAGGAAATCCTTGGGACCCATAGCTCTCTCCCTGACTCTCCAGTATAAACCTCCAGTCTTATCCCTTGTAGACACATAACTGCTTACCAAACTTTTTCTTTTTTTTTATATTTTATTTAAAAGGAAAAAGAAAAAAAGCAGAACAAAACAAAACAGTGTAAGGGTACAAGTCAAACATATCAAGACTGTGTAACACCATTCAAGTGGATGAAAGCATTGTAGAGTATTTAGAACCAGCTAACAGAAAAAAATGATCAATCTACATGCATCAAGTTTTACCAGCTAGTCAAAATTCTGGAATTTTGTCCACATTAGAAGTACAATTTCTTAACAATACACATGGAGGACTGGGTATAAAGCTCAGTGACACAGTGCCTGCCTGGCAAGCACAAGGTCCTAAGTTCAATTCCTGGTACCACACACACACACACACACACACACACACACACACACACACACTATACATGGATTTGGTAAAAATTCCCTCCAGACAAGGCAGGGACAAGGGCAAGAGTCTGTGGGTGGGCTCCATTCTGGTAAAGGCTAGAAATCTCAGGCCACTGTGACTGGATCTGTAATTTCTACTTCTAAATGAACAGGCCATTTCTTCTTCAAATTTACTTTTTAAATGAGTAAGCAAAAAATAAAAATAAAGTTTCCTTTAAAAAAAATAATAACTAAGGGCTGGGGATTTAGCACAGTGGCATAAGCACCTGCCTGGCAAGTGCGAGGTTGTGAGTTTGATACTGGGTACCAATTATAATATAATATAATGTGATTTTTCCCTGAAATGGCTTTGAATGGTGATTAGCCTGCTTCTTTGCCCTTGATTTAGCTGCCCCTGGATTTGAGTTCCTCCTCCTTTTGGCTCAGTGAGAGGGATGTGGTCATTCTCTAGCACAACGTTGATAAGCACAATCATTGCCCAGGCTGCTATTCCTCCCAACACCCAAAGCCAGCCTGGGATAAGAAGCTAACTGTTCTTCCTGCTCCTCTACTTTATTCTCTTAAGGGAAATGAATGTTACAGTGGTGACCAGCCAGCCACAGAGAGCCCTGAGCAGCGGCTGCATCTCTGCCATCCCTAGAAGTACTAAAGGCTACTGCCCATAGGCCAGGCTGCAGGGGTGGGGGTGGAGTTGAGTATTGCAAAGCTTGGGAATGCTAATGTTTATATCATTTTGTTTTTATTCTATGGTACTAGGGATTGAGCCCAGGCTATCTACCACTAAACTACATCCCTAGGCAATTATTAAATTTTTACTTCAAGAGAGTCTTGTGACATTGCCCAGACTGGACTTAAACTAGCAATTCTGTTATTCTGTTGATGAGAGGGGGGATACCAAGGATCAAACTCACGACCTTGCGCTTGCCAAGCAGGCGCTTATGCCACTGAGCTAAATCCCTGGCCTATTCTGTTGTATTTCAAGTAAATGAGAACCCTTTAAAGTTGCTTAGGGTAAGATACATTAAGATTAAGGGAGGCTGCACCAGGTGTGGTGACATGTGCCTATAATCCCAGCTATTCAGGAGGCCTAGGTAAGACTAGGAAATTTAGTGAGAACTTGTCTCAAAATAAAAAAGAGCTGGGACTAGGGACATAGGTTAGTGGCACAAGTGCCTGCTTGGCAAGAGCGAGGTTGTAAATTCAATCCCTTGTACCAAAAAAATAAAGTAAAAATAAATAAAATTAAAAAGAGCTGGAGTATAGCTGGGCAAAACAAAGAAACTTTGAAGGACAAGGCATTTTCCTCTTGGCTTGGAGCTTTCTAACATACCTTGCTTCCTGCCTGATTAACTCCTTCTCAGCAAGTTCTGGGAGAGCTACATTCTGGAGTCCAGAGAAGATCTGGGAAATTTCAAAGCATAAATGAGCAACAACACACCCTAGAGGAAAAGGGAGGCTCCTCTGCATTTCCCTTTCCTGCAGGCCTGCCATGGTTTTTCATGATGTCATCCATTCATCATTGTGAGCTGACCGGCCAATCCAGGCTTGGGCAGCATTCAAGATCAGAAGCGGGGGAGACCCCAGGACAAATGTGCAAAAGGCCCCTGAGGATGTACAGACATGTTGACATCAGTTCCACATAGAAAGACTTGGAAATCGAAGAAGACAGTAAAAGTCACGAAGTCTTATCCAACCTTCCCTTCCCTGAATGCCTGGGAAGAATTCAGGGGCCTCCTGCCTGCGGATGCAGAACCGAACTCTGGGGTGGGTCTAGGTGTGGAGGAGGGACTGCTCTGCCAGATGGTTCATTCTCCAGAATTCAACCTATTTCCTGACTCAGTGGTGTTCGAAAGCAACTTTGTCCAGGTACTCTCGGGTAGCGCAGAATGGATCTCCTTGGTTCCTCTAAACCTGTTCCCAAGATGTGACTGGGAGAATTCCTGGACAGGAGTTGAGTGAGAACCGAGGCAAGGAGAATGGAGGGGGCTGGACCCTAAGACCGCTCACACACACCAGGGCTTCACAGAGCCCTGGCCAGATATTTCCCAGCAGGTGTCATCACCAGGAAAGAGGTCAGGCACACTCTGTTCTGAATGGGGGATCTCATACTTGAGTCCCCAGTTTACTTTATCAGGGTGTCACCCAAAGCCAGATGAACCAGGAGGAAGTGAAAGGAGATGGCTTGGGAGGGGTAGAAATGGAAACCATAACCAAGGAATGACAGGGGCGGGGTCCAGATTGCAGGCATCTGCTTTCTTATGGACAGGTGTGATTGTGCTGAGCCCATTTGCTCTGTGGTAAGGGGATTGGACTGGTTTGGGGATTAAATCAAAAACTGAAAGGATAGTGCCTGGTCTCATGGGCACTGGTGCATTTTTGTCTCCTTGCCTGAGCTCCTCCTGGCCAGACAGAATCTAAAGTACGTGGAGCTGGTGGAGCTGGAAAATGAAAGTGCAGAACATAGAAGGGTCTCAGAAGGGCCAAAAGGACAAATTTTTCAAAGAAAAGCCAAGAAACAGTTTGGGAAGAATTGACAAACCTGCAAGAGATACCAGGGAACTCCTGAGTTAAAAGTCCTCATGGACAATTGTTAATAGTAGATTGTTTAAATACTATTGTAGTTTTAAAAATCAATATAGGTTAAAACCTTTGTTCTCAATAAGCAAAACAAGCAGTGTCCCCTGTCACTTCCAGGGAACATTTGACAATACCTGGGGACGTTTTTGGTTGTCACAGTTTGAGTCAGGGTTGCTCTTAGCATCTAAACAATAGAAGCCAAGGATGCTGCTAAAAATTCTACAAATGCACAGTACAGCCTCCCTTTCCAACAAAGAGGTGAGAAATCCCAAGCTAAAACTTACCACTGCTTCTGCCACATGCTCAGGCTACGCCTGAGGTGGGTGCTGCATTGCAGGTCAAGAGGGGCAGAAACTGGATAAATATCTACAAAGCCTCCAACACTATGGCCCTTGGGGTGACCTCCTCCGTGCCCTGCCTGCCCCTTCCCAACATCCTCCTCATGGCTAGTGTCAGATGGCATCAGGGGCAGAGCCAGACATGGAACAGACCAGCTACAGCCCCAAACATCATCCTGAAGAGGTAAGCAATGCACAGGAGAACGAGGCACAAGAGATGAGGGGTGAGGCACAGAGTGACTCGACTGTTTGGCAACTAAGATCGCAGTAGGGAGAAAGCAAATAGGACATTGGCAGTGACATTACTTTCTGTAGACAGTGATAACTCAAGCCAGGTAGTGCACTGGAAGAGCAAAGGTCACATGGTGCAAAGGTAGGCGTTCTGTGGACAGGATGGGGGATCACCCTCAAGCCCACCTGCCCTCTTGCTGTGCTCCCCCACTGAGTTCATGTGAAACTCTTGCCCTTTGGCCAAGGGGCAAGGAGGGAGTGAGGTCTGGCAGATCTGAGCCAGCTTGTTTCTAGTCCCTGGTGTGTAAGTAACACTAGAATTTTTTTTTGAGACAGAGTCTTGCTGTGTAATTCAGGCTGGCCTTGAGCTCACTATGTAGTTCAGACTGGCTTTGAACTCATGGCACTTCTGCCTCGGCCTCCTGAATGCTGAGATTACAGGCATGCACCACCATGCCTGCCTTAAATAACTTTTGAGTCACAAGTTATTTACTGTATCTCAAGTTTCCCTATCTATAAAGTGAATGTGACAAAGTTCCACTTAGAACTGTAACGTGGTGACCTGGTTGTCTGGAATAAAACAGCCCTTCTGGATGTTTAAATGTCTATCAAAAATCTGTAGGGTGGCTCATGAATGTCGAAATATTCCCAAAAGCCCAGGAAAATCCTTCATTTTTCCATGCTACTCCTGACAGACCTCTCCTTGATGCTCTTGGTGTACCTGCAGCAAGTCCAGCCCAGTTCTAGCTGATCAATTAGATCCAAAGGCAGCTCCTTGAACTTCAGCTCCTTTGAGAAGAGTTCTCTGGAGGCACTGAGGTCAATGAATGGACAAGCTGGACAGGTGGGCCAGGTCCCTTTGTACCATCAAGAAGGAAACTGCAGAGCCTCATGACCCCAGCCACCTTACTGGTAGGCTGTCTCTCTCAAGAAAGGTCCAGGGAATAGCAGCATGAGAATTCTGGCAGGGGGGAGTGCAAACTAAAATGCAGATTCCAGGGCCACACTTCAGACCTAGAGAGTTTGAATGTTGGGAAATATCTTTGAGAATCTGCATGTTAAGCTTCCTAGAGGTATCTGTTCTCCTTACCATGCTAAGAACTCTCTCTCTTTCTCTCTCTCTCTTTCTCTCTCTCCATCCTTAAAAGGTGGTCCTCAAGGAGAGGCCCCTTGTTTTAAAGATAATGTGGCATTGGAAGAAAGAGTATCTTCTCTCTTGCCTTCAGGATTCTCCCATTAAAGTTTGTGGAGCTCCAGGTCTGTGACCACCTCCAGCGCATCCTGCGGTTAAGGACAGTCACTGAGAAGATCTACTACCTAAAGCTTCATCCAGATCACCCTCAGACTGTCTTCCGCTTCTGGATCCGACTGGTGCAGATTCTGAAGGAAGGCCTATCCATCACCACCAAGGACCCTAGGATTCTTGTCACCCACTGCCTGGTACCCAAAAACAACTCCACCCCATCTGAAGACTCTAAGGTAAAGTAGCATGATTGTCAGTCTTGAGCTCAAGCCAGAGCTAAGAGGCGGGGCTGAGACAGCTGGTGAGTGCACGGTCAGGAAGGCCTTTTCCTGGCAGCTTTGTTGGGGTATTGTTCATAATCTTAAAATTCATCCTATGCCAGAGTACAGTTCGAAATTGCCAGCGAATGTGTGTGGTTGGCTGCCATCAACCATTGCCACAGTCCAGTTTTGGACCATCTCTAGCACCCTGAAGAATTCCCTTTCTTATTGGCAATCATTCCTTATTCCAGGTCCTATTCCGCTTCCAATTCCTGCTTCTAGGTAGTTCAAGGCCAGCCTGAGCTGCATAGTGAGACCTTGTCTCAAAAAAAAAAAAAAAAAAAAAAACCTTACAGTACATAGATTTTGTGTGTGTGGATTTCAAGAAGTAAATATTTTTTTAGTAAAATGTTTTTGCGGTTCATTCATATGATTACAAGGGGCAGAGTCGCAGACTCTCAGTAGTTGACTCCTTGTGAGTGCTGAGTAGTAGCGGGCCATAGCATAGATATACTACGTTTTGTTTAACTGGTTGATATACATTTGAGTTGATCCAGTTATAATGAATAATGCTGTTATGAACATTTGCGTAAGGCTATTATAGAGTCTTTCTTTCCTTTGTCTTGACTAGATTTCAAGGAATGGTAATACTGGATTATATGGAAAGTTAACTGTCAAAGAAACTAGCAAATTGTTCTTTTAAATGGCCATTTTATGTTCCCACCAATAACATATAAAGATTTTAGTTCCCCCGTATTCTTTCCAATACTGACATTGTCTATCTTTTTTATTATACTTATATTAGAAGCCTAAGTGTGGTGATTTTACTCTGGATTTCTGTGATAACTAATGAAATTGAGCAATTTTAGTGGACTTTTACTTATGTGTCATCCTCATGAAATGTGCATTCAAATCTTTTGCCCATTTTTAAACTGGGTTTTGTCTTCTTTAAGAATTGTTGAATATTCTGAGTATAAGTACCTTATCAGATATGTAATCTGAAAATATTTTCTCCCAGTTTGCGAATTTTCGTTTTCTTAGTGATACCTTTTTTTCAAAGTTTTTATTAGTCTATGTGTTTTGTTTATTTAGCTCTTGCAATCCTGTCTATAATTCAAGTTGAATTAGTATTTGTGTATGGTAGAGGTGGAAGAATAAGTTCATTTATTCACTTTTTTTCTTTCTTCTTTAGCATGTGGACATGCAATTGTTCAAATACTATTTATTGGAAAAAAAAAAAAAAAAAAAACCTCTTCCTGCTTGAATTGTCTTGACATCTTTGTTGAAAAATTGATTGACCATACATAATAAGGACTTATTTTTGGATCCTCTCTTCTGTCTTATTGATCTATTTGCTTATTTTTATGCCAGTACCACAAAGTATTAATTGATGAAGTTTCACAGTAAGTTTTGGGTAATGTAAGCCTTCCAATTTTGTTCTTTCTCAGATTATTTTGACTGTTCTAGATCTTGTACATTTCCACATAAATTTTAGGATCAGTTTGTCAATTTCTTTTCTTTCTTTCCATCGTTCTTTCTTTCCTTTGTCTTTTGGAGACAAGGTTTCATTATGAAATTCAGGTTGACCTTGAACTCACTTTGAAACCCCAGCTGGCCTTGAACTCACAACAACCCTCCTGCCTCAGCATCCTGAAATTACAGGTGTGCACCACCATAACCAACAGTTTGTCAATTTCTGCAAAAGCAAAAAAAAAAAACAAAAAGAATTGTAAAAAGCACATGTGGAATATGTATGTATCAATTTGGGAAGAGATGCCATCCTGACAGTATTGAGTTTCCCAATATGTGCCTCTAGAATATCTCTCAATTTGTGATAATATGATTTTTTAAAAAACACAGTAAATGTTTAACTTTAATTTGTTTGTTACTTTTTGGTTTTTTGAGACAAGCTCTTGCTATATAGCCCAGCCTGGCCTTGAACTCACAATGTAACCCTGGCTGGCCTCGAATTCATAGTGATCCTGCTGCCTCAGTCTCCCAAGTGCTGTGATTATAGGGTGTGCAACCATGCCTGACTAACAATTTATTACGTTAAAAGACATATGCCATATATATATCCCTCTCAAAATTCTGCACCTTGCAGGCTGGGGATTTAGCTCAGTGTAAGCACCTGCCTGGCAAGTGCAAGATCGTGAGTTCAATCCCTGGTAAAAAAACAAACAACAACAAAAAAAAACCAAAGAACTCAAAGAACTTCAAAGCAAGGTGTAGAGTTCTTTTTTTTTCCTTGCTTTGAACACACAATCCACCACTTTCACTTGCTTATGTTCTAGAAGTCCCCTTTCATCACTTTAGTTTTACTGTTGTGCTGCTTCAGTGACCTGAATCGATCTACAACATTTACCTTTCACAGTCGTTTTAACTTTGAGGGAGATCCAGAACTTGCTTAGTGCCAGGTCTGGTGAATAAGGTCATCAGGACGCACTGTGCTGTCTTCACAAGCCTGCCTTTCCAGGAGGCGGCACTGGGCAGCAGCACTGACATGTGCTTATCACACCTCGAAAGACACTAAATGAAAGAGTATTTTCTTCCCGCAGCACTTCAGAAAATGGCAAGACTGATGAGATAGGTGTTTGAAGCAAGAAGTATTTTGAAGGGTGTAAATGCCAATGTGCCTTTTACCATAATCATTTTTTAAATTTAAACATTCATTGTATTTTTTGATCACCCATTGTATTTTGATCTATTTAAATTTTTCTTAGAAATGTTTTGTAGTTTTCAGTAAGTGAAGTTCTACATTTTTTTCTTAAATATGTTCCCAAGTATTTTATTTTCACTGTTGCTATTGTGAGTAGAATTATACTTTCTTAATTTCAATTGTGACCAGTCATTGATAGTATACAGAAATATAACTGACTTTGAGTATTAATATTATATATTAGTTATAGTAGTTCTGTGGCTTTCAAATATATATGTAAATTTTATATATGTATATAAATATATATACATTTATATTTATATTCATTGTCATCTGCCAGCAAAGACAGTTTTATTTATCTCCAACCTAGATTTGTTTCTTCCTTACATTATTGCATTAGCTAGAATCCACAGTACAAAGTTAAAGGCAAAAGCAGATGTTTTCACCTTGTTCCTGATCCTAGAAGAAATGTATTTATTTAGTATTCCATCATTATGTATGATGCTAATTGTAGGACTTTTACAGAGCCTTTTATCAAGTTGAGGATATGATTCTTTCATTCTTTCACTGTCGTTGTTTTGAGACAGGGTCTCACTATGCAGTTCAAGCTGTCCTTGAACTCACTTTGTAGCCCAGGCTGGCCTCAGACTCACAACCATCCTCTTGCCTCAGCCTCCCAACTGCTGGATACAGGCATGTGCCACCACGTCCAGCTTGTTAAATGCTTTTACTGGGGATCAAACTCAGGACCGCCTGCTTGCAAGGCAGGTGCTTACGCCGCTGAGCTAAATCCCAGCCCCAGCTTTTCTGCATCTATGAAGATTATGTGATCTTTCCTTTATTCTGATGACATATTCAATTACATTAATTGATTTTCCTATGTTAAAATCACCTTATAGTCTTACAATAAATTCCATTTTTTGTATAATCCTTTTTCTATGTTTTGTATTAAGTTTACTACCATTTTGGCATCTGTGTTCATGAGAGATATTAGTCAATGGTTTTCTTGTGATGTCTTTGTGAAACTCTGACTTTGGTATTGTTAACTCTAGGTTCCTTGTGTGAGTCAGAAAGCATTTCCTGCTCCTCTAGTTTCCTGATTTATCTCTAAATGAGTTTTTAAAGGATTATTATTACTGCTTTAAATTTTTGATAAATTTCATCAGTGAAGCTACCTGGACTTTTTGTTTTAGCGTTTTTGGCAGGAAGAATATGAGTCTGACTTGAGCTACAACATAAATATCACAGCGGCAGATTTTTACATCTTCTTTACTGCTATGTCCCTACTCTCTAGCATGAAGTCAACATTCAGTAAATACTGAGTGAATGACTAGTTGGCAAATGAGTGAGTGTGGCCAGCACACACACCTGGAGCACCCTGTATACACACTGGCAACAGGAAAAAAATTAACTTTACCCAGTTATAAAAAACAGCTCCCTAGAGCTCTTTTTCCTGGAGAAATTGATTTTAAAACATTCATTAAATTTTCTTAGTAATATATGATGTCCTTACATTTAAGTACAAAACCAAGCAGCATAAACTTTATTAAAATATTCATTAATAGGCTATACCATAAACTATAGTAAGACATACTAATAGAAATGATTACCTACAAAATTATTCAATGAAGGTATTATTCTTAAGGCACCAAAGGATATTTGTACCAATATGGGTATAAACAGATCAGATCTCAGGATCGCCTTCATGACAAGGGGGGTGGCTCCCCAGTAGGAGAGTGTGAAGTGAAATTAATATCTTTCCTGTTGCCTGTGTGATACCCGAGAATCTGGATCCTGATATTAAGAAAATGTTTGTTTGTTCATTTGTTTGTTCTCCTTGTAGTTAGTACAGAAGAAACTCCAAGCCCCCCAGCCCAGTGAGAGCCTCATGCAGCTGATGGCCAAAGGCGAGAGTGAGGCCCTCTCTCAGATCTTTGAGGACTTGCACCAGCAGAAATGCTTCAGGTACTTGACTCAAATCAGGTCAGCCACTGATGCCCCTTTCTACAGCCCAGATGGTCTGGGCTGGGAGACCCAGACACCAGGTCCTTTGGACCTTGTGTTGTATCTCAAGTCAGGCTCGTATTCTTCCTGCCAAAAAGCACAGAAAGGGGCACAAAATGCCTCCACACAGTCCCCAGTCTTTACTCTTGACTTGAGGCAACCTTCTCCTGGGTTTCCCCTTTGCCTGGGTCTTCACCACAAGGCAAGCACAGCAGGCTTGGCTCCCCAGGAGGAAGTGTATCAAAATAAAGAGCAACTCTCCAATACTGAGAATGAGTTAGAGACACAGATAGAAAGATCTAATCTAATTTTTAGCACAGTTCCTAGTCCTATAGAGAAATAATCAAAGCATTGTTTAAAACCCCGACTATCTATTAGATTTGTTTGCTGAATTTCCACTTGGATTTTGTGGAGCATTGGTTTTCTGTGTAGTATCTCTCAGGAAACACCAGGGCACAGGTCTATTTTCTTTTTTGTCTTTTTTTTAAATCGGTACCAGGGATCCAACTCACAACCACACACTTGCAGGACAGGTGCTTATGCCACTGAGCTAAATCCCCAGCCCCGCACAGGTCTATTTTCTCCATGCCCAAGGAAATGTGTTGTGATGTGCAAAGGCCTTAGCACTGAAAGATGATGGGGATATGGTTCAGTGGCACAGCACCTGCCTGACAAGTACAAGGTCCAATTCTTGTGAGTCCAATTCTCAGTACCAAAAAAGAAAAAATAAAAATAAAAAAGACTGGTTGATGTAAGAGGTATAGATTTTGAGAAAGTTAGACCAAAGGGTACGATGAGCAGAGAGCAAAGGTAAAGTGAGGCCGAGAGTCTAGTGCATGTCATTTGTGGTATAAAAGAAGTAGATGATTAGCAAGAGAAAAACCAGACTGAGCTGTCAAAGAGAAGGGATTTTTATCACAACAGGAAATACCAGCAAATTTCATGGCAAAACGAGCCACCACTTTTTTTAGACAGGGTCTCATTGTATACTTCAGACTGTCCTGGGACCCAGGTTGGCCTCAAACTCACAGCAATCCTCCTGTCTCAGCCTTCTAAGGGCTGGGATTATAGCCATGTGCTGCTGTGCCTGGCTTCACCTTTCTTACTGTGTGCTGGCAGTAAACTGAAAACAAGCGCTTGGAGGAAGCAATCTCTCGTAGTGGTAAAGAGCACATGTAGACCTGGGCTTACATCACTGCTGGACTACTTCTGAGCCATTGCTTAACTTTTCTGGGCCTCAGTTTTCAGATCTATAAAGTGGAATCCATATATTGTCAGGGTTAAATGAGCTCAGATGGATCAAACTTTTAGCCTGCTTCTCAGCAGACTTAGAGATGGACATATGTAAGCTCTAAAAATATATATCAATTTGTCTCATTAACTCTCTTAAAAATTTTTTCTTAGTGCATGTTTGCAGTACATGATGATTACATCTTAATTCTCTTTTCAGCCCGTCTCTGCCTCTCCCCCGTCTTGCTTCATCTCTCAATCCCCTTCCCATTTGAGAAAGGTCTCTCTCCTGCTTCCTATTGTCTGTCTCATATTTTGCTCTTCATTTGTATTTTGGGTTTCCATATAAGAGAAACCAGGTGGTGTTTAAGCCCGTATAATTTGTCTTATTAATTGTGACGAATTAGAGGTAGAAAAATATTAACCCAAGATAGACTTAGCTGCCCAGTGTTAAAGACTGCATCACTCTACATATTACACTGTAATTAGGAAATTTCTGGGCAAGATATGACATTGCTGAGCTAGAGAATGTTAGATTCTAATAAACCAACATATTTTGGAACAACTTTTTGACTGCCTTAAGTTATTAAACCACAGATTGTTATGTCACTAAATTGTCTGGGCTGGGCTCGAACTGTTGGCCCTCCTGGCTCTGCTTCCCAAAGCACTGAGATTACAGGTGTGTGTCACTGTGTCCAGCCTAAAACACTGATGATTTATTTGCTATTTACAAAGACACCTTCTGCTGATTGGTCACAATTCAGTCCCGTGGCCATGTCCAGCCACAAGAGAGACTGGGGCACTGAGATCTCATTTCTTTGTAGCCAGGGACTAAAACAGAAGTAGGCACTTGGGTCAGGCCTGGTGGTGCATGCCTGTAATCCCAGCACTCAAGAGGCTGATGTAAGAGGATTGCTGTGAGTTCAAGGCCAGCCTGGGCTACAAAGTGAGTTCAAGGCCAGCCTGAACCTAAATAGTAAGACTCTGCCTCAAAAAAGACAACAAAAGAAGAAGAAGAAGAAGAAGAAGAAGAAGAAGAAGAAGAAGAAGAAGAAGAAGAAGAAGAAGAAGAAGAAGAAAGAAAGAGAAAAAGACAAAGAAAAAAATAGGCACTTAGCTCCAGAGGGAGAAGGGAACAAGGGCTATGGGGGGCCTCCTGGAAATCACTGGTGCAGACAGCTTCTAATAGCTGCAGAAGCCCCTTCTTGGTACCACAAAAAAATTTCCAGGTCAGAGTAGATTAACACCTGAAGGATAAATGGACAATAGCCAGCTAAAAAGTGGAGAAGTAGTTGGGTGTTATGGCCCTTGCCTGTAATGTAACATTTGAGAGGCAGAGGCAGGAGGATCACCATGAGTTTAAGGCCAGTCTGGGCTACATAGCCAGACTGTCTCAAAAAAAAAAAAGAAAAGAAAAGAAAAAGTGGAGAAGTGTTAGGCATATCAGGGGAGCAAATGGGTTCCCAAATGAAGCCTTACCTAGAGAGAGAAGCTTGGCGAGCTTACAGAAAGGATAGGAAGACCAGTAGGGAAGAGCAGGTGGGAGCAGAAGAGAATAAGTAGAAGTGGACAAGGCCTGGGAGGCCTTGCAAAGGGATTTCAATTTCCATGTACGGAGAGTGTGAGCAGCATTTTGAACAACGATGTGATCCAATTTACATTTTGAAAAGGTCATCCTGGCTGTTACCTGCCAGTTGATTTGAAGGGAGACAGAAGAGTGTGGGAGAGACCAGCCAGGATGCTGTGGCTACCTAGCGTGGCCTGGCATGTACACGGCAGGCCAGAAGGATGTGTGAAAAGGAGGGTTCACTGGCTTTACTGTTAGCTCAGTAATTGTTTTGTGCAAACATTCAGCTCCTTCTCTTCCATTTCCCAGAAGAAAGCCTGAGTGATGGTTTTTCTCCTCACCTAGCAGGTCCTAGTCTGGTTTCAAATATCAGCCTTTGCCCCCTGGCAACAACATGCAGCTTGGGAAATAAACGGCTAAGATGCAAGACAGATCAGATGCAGTCAGACCCTCTCCTCCTCAGGGAAATCAGCAGCTTGGGCTCTGCTCCCCACCCTCCTCTTCCCTCTTTTCTTCTGAAAATTTAGTATGCATCACACTGACCCAATATAGCCCCAGCTGGCCCTTTCTAAGTTGTATCTGTTTCCAAAGCTTCTACATAGGGAAAAAGTAACTAGAAATAATAACCTGAAATGTGTTTAATGTTCTGTTCCTTTCCTTTTCACCTTCATTGTCTTGATCCTGAAATGTCTGAAATTCCAGGAGAAACAAAAAGATGAAGATGAACAAGGCCTGCTCAGGTAATGAAGGGTGCAGGGCACAAAGCCTCAGCGAGCTGTCTACACTGCAGACTTAAGAATCAGCACTTGGGATCTTCCTGGTGCCATCAGGATTGCTAGCATCTTTCGGCCATAGCTTGAATCCCTCTGGGCTTTTTGGCCACCATGGCCAAATGGGCACCAAATCCTACCAATTTCTTTCTTTGAAATCTATCTCTTCCTCTCTCTTTCCTCCCCTCCCCCCTCTCTCTCTTTCCTTTTTATGTGGCATTGAGATTGAACCCAGGGCCTCATGCATGCTATGTAAGCACTGTATTACTGAGCCACACTCCTAACCATTTTTTATTTTGAGACAGGGTCTCACTATGTTGCCAAGGCTAGCATCAAACTTACAATCCTTCTGCCTCTCCTGAATAGCTGTGATTACAGTCATGTGCTACTTTCCTGGTGCTATATATATATGTATATATACATATTCACTCTAAAGCATGCACTGTGTACCTTGTAGTGATACTTACTTGCTGGTGGCTTTGGGGTCACCATGTAGAAAGACACTGTGTCTTTTTAAGGAGTTTATAATTTGGTGGAGACAGGTGAGGAAATACCAAAATGACTAAACCTCTCCTTCCAGGCACTATTCAAAGCTCTGGCCTGAGGTGCAGATGGCACACAAAGAAGAGGGCCCCTTAGTCCTCCCAGAACACTAGCATCAGAAGTTTAGTGCCTGAGCTGAGTCCTAGACTGCGGTGAGTTCACAGGAGCTGGCCTAGGCAGGGAGTTCCGGGAAAAACAGGCCTCTGCCCGAGGGAACAGGATGCAAACAGGAAGCAGAAGCTTGCTCCCAACGCCAGGCTCCAGCCCACATCTAGTTCAGCATGGCCTGCCTGGCCCTGCACAGAGCTCCTCATCTTACCTGTCTCAGTCTCTTCTCCAGTCTACCTCTACCACGGTCAACCTCAGTTAAACTTCATTCTTCACCCACCCCATCCCACCACTCCTTCCCCCTGAGCATGCACGTAAAATCCTGCCTGTCCTAAGCGCTCCACCTCACCACACCTTCCCACCCAGCCTTAGCTTTCCTTGCTTGAACCTCTCTTATGTTATTCTCTGGCTGTAGATTTAATTCTTCAATGAATAGTAAATTGTATTTTTGTCTCTGAATTATCCACCGCAGCAGGTTGTAGACATGGCAGGGGTCACAACGGAAGCTCAATAAATACCTGTATCCTGTACCACCAATGAATCAGGTCTCTGCATTGGCTCTGGAGGCAGAACATCATGTCTTATTTAGAAATTTAGAAGACATGATGCATCCTTTGCTAACTTTTACCCAAATATGAGTTTAGATACTTAGACATGCGCAGGAGGTAAAAGTGGGTAAAGTTCTGGGGAAGATAGATACAAGAAATGGTTAACTTTTCTGCAAACTCTATTACAATTAAAACAATTGCTAAACTGGGCATGGTGATGCATGCATAATCCCAGCACTGGGGAGGCTGAGGCAGGAGGATCATTGCAAATTCCAGACCAGGGTGGGCTACAAAGTGAGCTACCTGAACTGCATAGTGAGAGCCTGTCTCAAAAAAAAAAAAAAAAAAAGAAAGAAAGAAAGAAAAGAATTGCTGCCACCTGATCTTTGGTTTCAGTGGGGAGGAGACAGGAGTGGTGGGGACAGGGCAATAAGAAGGTAAAGGTTTCAATTAAGGCTTCAGTTAATTCCTGCTATGCTGCCAGATATACCAAATTTTTTTAGAAAAGCAAAAACTCTGGATTGTTTTATGCAACATTCCCCTGCTGCATTAAAAAAAAAAAAAGGAAAGAATGGTATAGGTCAACACTTAGTGGGCAAACGCGCTTTCATAGACCACACGTGGCCTGGAAGCTGCCAGCTCACACCCTTGTTCTAACTGATGAGCAGACCTGTTGCTGACCCTCACCTCTCTCATCCTGATTGCTTTTTATGTTCTGTGACTGATGACACCATGACAATTCATTTTTCTGCTTTTATACATACTTTCACACTGGAAACTTTTCCCATGAGGTTGGGGTAGGAGGGAGACAGAAATAGAGAGAATTTCTTATTTATTCTGTAACTAGACAGAACAGCTAGAATCTCAGGGCCACAGGGTGTCTGGCATCATGAGAACCCCCAGCCCAACATGGTCTTAGGTGGTTTCAGCCATACTGGGGCATCTACTTGATCCTTCATTCCTACTGGAGGATAGACAAGTAAGGGACAGACAGATTGGGAGTAGTTACAGCTCACCCTTTTGGAACTTTCAGAAAGAAAGAAAAAAAGAGACAGAGACAACTACAGTTGGAAAAATCAGAGCCTGAAACTTACCACCTGTGTGGCTGGTTCCCACATGGTTGATGTGGCTGTTAGGGCAGCGCTTCTCCAAGTTTAGTTCCCAAACAGACTTGTGAGTCTTGTTATAATGCATCTCAGAGAGGGGAGACATGACATACTCCTGCATGATACCAAGACTTCAGCCACCCTGGGTAGCCAGGACCAACAGGACCAAGAGCAGGCTTTGGCTTTGGTCTGCTGAGTTCATGACCATTTATCTCTCAGGGAAGTTTTCTCAGGTAACCTGTGCCAGGTCCTCTGCTTGCACTGGGCCCATCTATCTCATATGAGAAGAGTGGTGAGAATGTGGGCTATGGAATCAGGCTGTCTGCCTTTGAATTCTGACCCTGCCTCCTCATTCTGTGAATCTCAAAAAGTTACTCAGCCTCTCTGGAGCCCAGATTCCTCGTCTGTAACATGGCGGATGTGACAGATAGCACTGCCCTAGTCACATGGTCATGAGGTTACAAGGGGTGAGAATGACTGTAACTATCTGAAGTGGTGCCTGGCACGTCAGAAGCACGCCTGCCCCAGCTGTCAGCTGTGAGCTTCAAGAGTGCAAGCAGAGCGCAAATGCCTTTCTTTTCTTGACTAGAGAAAGCTCCTTCCCGGAAAGATGACATCCCTTGCACCCATGACTTCAGCTGGAGGGAATCGCTCACTTACGGAGAATGGGAAAGAGAGAACCCCTCCGGGCCGCAGCCCCTGTCGCTGCTCAGCACGCTGGCGGCCTCCACCAGGCCGAGGCTGGTGCCACTCATAGGTACGCTGCGGGGACTCATCGGGCTGCCGTGAGGCGGCAGCCTATGCCCCCCCCCCCCAGCCAGGTCCGGCCTGTAGGTCCTGAAGGCTATCCGAGAATACTCTGGGCCGAGGGTGGGGAAGGCTGGCCACGGTGACCTCATCCACTTTCCTGCCCTGCTCTCTGATTTAACAGGGCTGAGTGAAACGCTCAGGGTGGCACCTCCAGAGCTCCAAGATTTCAGTAAGTGGCTCTGAAGTGACAGATGCTCCTAGAGTGATGCCATGACAGCTAAACCTCTCACTCCTTGCTGTGTGAGGCAGAACGAAGGCCTCTGTGGACTTCTTATGGACTCTCCCCTCCTCCCACCCCCTCTGGGAGCTCTTCATGGCCTTCCTACTGCAGGGGTTGGGGTACAGAGAGGCAGAAGGAGCTGGTTACAGGGCTGGGACGGGAGCAAAGTGAGCCTAGGGCCCCAGTGGTTCTCTCCTCATGTTCCAAGGCTCCCTCCATCCATCACCCACTCAACAAGCATTTTGTGAAGTACCTCACATTCCTAAAGAAGCTTTAAGTTTTCTAAAGTAGGATTTTATTGTGAACCCTTACATCCCCCAAGAGATTGTTATTAATAGTTGACAATTTAAAAAATTAGGATAAGTATAGTAGTTCCCCTCCCTCATCTGCTGTTTCATTTTCTGAGATTTGTTATTCAATCAACTGTAATCTAAAAATAATAAATGAAATATTGCATTTTTGAGAGAGCCATGTTCACTTATTATAATTATTCTGTTTATTTGTTGTTAACTTATTTATTTATGTATTTTGTTTTGTTTTTTGAGACAGTCTCTCACTATGTGTAATTCAAACTGGCCTTGAATTCACTATGCAGTTCGGGCTGGCATTGAACTTGTGGTGGTCTTCTTGCCTCAGCCTCCCAAGTGCCGATATTGTAGATGCTGGCCACCACATCTGGCACCACCCCTAATTTATAAATGAGACATTATCATGTGTATGTTTATACGGGGAGGGGGGACACAGTACTGCAGCGGTAGGACTTGGTGCAGTTGAGTTTCAGGCATCCTCTCGGGCCTTGAGACACATGCCCCCAAGATTAGGGGAGCCTGCTGGCAGGTGATTTATATGCTATCAAACACTCTTCTGCACGCACAGGAAATTCTATCTAAGCGCTGTTTCCCCCTGGGAAAAGTCTATGCAGCCCTTGCCAACGAGGCTCTGCAGCTTTCAGCTTCGGGGGCCTCCATGAAGATGGAGGCACATAAGAGTCGTCGTCATCATCCGCAGTGACAGCACAGCCTTTCCTTACTGCAGCGGTGCCCACCTCCGCGTCCTCACCGCCACACACAAGCACAGCCCCCCGCCGTCTCACCACCCAGCGAACCCCAGCGCTCCGGACAGCTGGAGCCAAGAGCTGCGGAAAGGAAAGCAAGAGAACAAGACCGGCAGAGAGCAAACTGGAGGTGGCGGGCGGCAGTCAGAGCTGCGAGGAGCAGCGCTACAGAAGGAAACAGGAGAGACAGACAGACGTGGGAGAAGAAATGAGCAGGACAAGCACATCTCTGAGGGATGCCTCACCAAGGTTCTATTTATCTAATTTAAAACTTGAAAGTAAAAGCCATAAAGCAAAAGAGAAGGTGTGCTTTCTTTTTTGCTCTGGACAAGTATGAGGGGTCCTTTATTCAGTGTCTCCTTTGCCAGTTTTTCTTGACAGTTTTCTTCTGATTCAAACTTCACGCTTCTCTCCTGTTCCCTAACCTCGCCTTGCTAACCTCCTCTATGCATGAACTGGAGTTTGAGGCTGAGCATGGTGCCTGCACAAGACTGTGCCACAAGGAGTGTAAGATAGGATGAATTTCTTTTATGCGTTCAGATTTCCTACATTTACATTGTTTTAGTCCCATAAACACTGGTGCAATTTCTTTTTAGTTTTTCTTTCTTTTTTTGGTTCCAATATTGAACTTGGGACCTTTGTTTTGGGTTACGTTCCCACCTCTTTTCATTTCTTATTTTGAGACAAGTTTTGCTAAATTGCCCAGGTAGAATTTGAATTTGCAATCTTCCTGTCTCAGCCTCCCATCATGATGAGATTACAGGTGCATGCCACCTAGAGTGTGCAGATGGTACAATTTTGCACATGACACTCCCTTGACATGTTTACAAATCTCACACTATGCCTATTGGATTAGTAATTCTAAAGACAGGAGGTACAGGCTCAGAGTAGGTATAGGTAAACTAGAGGCTCTTAAATTGCAGATGAAAAGGATCTCTAAGAAGTGTCTGTTAGATGGTCCAACTATGTCAGCCTAAATTCTGCAAGCCAGATGTGGTAGTATATGCCAGTAATGTCAGTACTTGGGAGGCTGAGGCAGGAGGATCACTGTGAGTTTGAGGCCAGCCTGAACTACATAGGAAGGCCCTATCAGAAAAGAAAAAGAAAAATTATACAACACTGTATTTCACATTCAAAAAAATTCAGACTATTTCAGAACAGTTGGCCAACTTTCACTTTAAAATTCTTTTAGATGCTTTGCTGTGGTTTAAGATCTGTTTGGTGAGTCTTTGTTATCACTGAAGTGCCTTTTATTTTAACTTTGTTCTTTTTTTTGACACAGGGCCTGATGCGTAATGCAGGCTGCTCTTGAACCTGCTTATATAGCTCAGGTTGGCCTCAAATTTATAGGAACCTTCCTGCCTCAGCCTCCCAAGTGCTAGGATTACACGCATGTGCCACCATGCCTGGTTTTGGTGGTTGTTGTTTTGTTTTGATTTTAGACATGGTCTCACTATGCAGTTCAGACAGGTCTTGAATTCACCGTGTAGCCCAGAGATTGAGGCAATCCTGCTTCAGCCTCCCGAGTACAAGCATGCAGCACTCCATACAGTTTACTGAAGTTTTTATATTAGAACAGCTAGAGGGCTCAAATATCAGCTCCCAAATCACCATCACGCCAAGGTTGTGTTATGTCCTAACCCAGTGTTTTCATGTCCACATGGACCCTGCCGGTACCCTGGCGTTCTTCCTTAAACTCTTGGCCCCGTCTTTCTTAACCTCTGACTCCTCTAGTTTTAACTAGATTTTGGCATTAATAACTTAATATTAATATAATAATATTATTAACTTAACATTAATAACTAAAATAATGGTATTTTACCCCATTATTTCCATTCTCCAGCTATATCACCTCCTCTGCCTCTGAGCCTGTAACCCTTCAACCCCACCTGCCCTACAATCTCTACCTCCACTCTCCATATGTCATTATTTGCATCCCCTCTGGTTTAGATTCTGTCATCAGTCTTACTATTCATACTCTGTTGCATGCACTTTAACATCTTTGGGTCTCTTTCACTTTCTTCTGTTCACTTGGCTAAACCCAGCTGTCTACCAACTCCATGTCTGTACTATACTGCTGAATTTGCCTGTAGAAAACTACATGACCTATGTAACCAGTATACCTCAAAGTCATAATTACAACCTTAGGCCCTCAGTATTGCCTAAGAGTCATTCTACATTCCCCTCATTGGCTCACTCTGCTAAATAGCTATTCCATGCTTTCTCTCTCAAGTCTCTAGTCCCTTTTGATGACCTAGTTTTGAGATTTTTTTTCCCCCAGTAGTAGGTACTGAACTCAAGGCCATCACACTGAGCTATATCCCCAACCTTTTTTTTTTTAATTTTTTATTTTGAAACAGGATCTCTCTAGGTTGTTAAATTGCTTGGGCTGGGACTGAATTTGCAATCCTTGTGCTTCAGCCTCCCTGGGTGCTGAGATTATAGCTGTGTACCACCATAAGCAGGTTTCTCTTTTGTTGTTTTTAACTGAGACATACAAATTGCTTTTCTACTTTAAAATCTCACATAATGAGAATTCATTTCCATTTCTGTCCCTTTACAAGAACAGGCCCTTATCTGGAAGGAATCTTGGGGCTGGAGTGCCCTAACTGTAGCAGTCCCACCACCTGTCCAGCCTTTTCTAAGACACTTCCAGAATAGTGGCTCTCCTAATACTCAGTAGTTTCTTGAGGGCAGAGATGATGCCCTCCACATTTACAGGTTCATTGGTACCTATTACAGTGCCTGATTTCAAAGAGGCAATGGCGGGGGGGTGGGGTTTTACCAGGGATTGAACTCACAACTTCACCCCTGTAAGGCAGGTGCTTACATCACTGGGCTAAATTCCTGGCTCAAGGAGGCATTTTAACAAGTTTTTCAATAATACCTTATGCTACTATCTGCTTTGTAATTAATCCTTATTAGAAGATGCACCTTCCTGAAAGAACCATTTTCAGCATCATCACCACCCCTGCAGCCACAAGCTTAAAAACCTTCCAAGGGAAACCTGAAATTTCCAGAACCTTCCACTCAGGCCCCTCAGATGGCCACGATCTTCCATTCCCAATCTAAACATGCTATCTGTGCTATCCCTGCTTTCCTTACTTCTTGGACTTCCCTCATCTCCTACCTGACCTGAACATTTGTGTATTCCTCTGCTTCCTACTTGACCTTGTTCCTGCTTTTTTCTCTGAAATGGGACTTGCTTAGTCCAGCCTAAATTAAAGTTTTCCTGCAAGCCCTCTCTTGACTACCTCCAAGGACTGCTGACACTCCTTTGTCCTCTGCATTGCCCCAAGCATTCTTTCATCTTGGCACTAAAAAGTAAACAATTTGCTTTGTATTCAACTCTCTCATGGACTGGGTACTTAGGTCTTAAACTAGTCTTTACTTGCTAAGAACTCAGGTCTCTATCATTTGTATTGAAAACATAGTAGCTCTGATTGAAGTTATTTTAATTTCATGACACTAAAATGCACAGGTGAATCATTTCCTGTGTTTCTCTTAAATCTGGGACATGCAACGCATTTCACCCATTCAGTTAACATTAAACATTTACTTTGACTGGGCAGGAACTCAGTGGTGCAGATACAAACAGGCAGAGCTTGACTATTTGCTGGAGAAGCAATGTTATAAAACAAGATTTGGCAGGGTACTGAAGACATAAGGTGCTATGAAGGCAAATAAGGGAAGTATTATGCTTCATGGGGTCAGTAAAACTTCTAGAGCTAGCATCCAACAGAGACTTTTTTTTAATTGTTGCTGTTGAGACAGGGTCTCTCCGTTCAATCCATAACGACTTTGTAGCCGACTATGTAGCCCAGGTTAGCCTCAAACCTACCTTAGCCTCCTAAACACTAGGAAGCCAGGCCTGGGCAACTACTCCTGACCCCAAACTGGGACTTCCGCTGGCCTTCACTAACGTTAGGAAAGCACTTTTTCCAGGCAGAGACCACTTGGTAAACCAAGCCCTTGGAGATATGAAAGGACAAGCTGGTGGGAAATGCGGTGGCGATGATGGCCCGGAGCACAAGATACGTGAAGGGCGTGGTGGGAGACCAAGCTGAAGGCTGGACCGTTGCTAATCAAGCGCCTCCGGCAAACCTCTCTTCAGGGCGGCGGCAGCGTTGTGGAGGACGAAGTTGGATGGTTCACTGCAGGCAGTGACGGACGGATACGGCCAGATTTGGGGACATAAAGATGACCAGCATGGTAATCTGAGAAGCCCTGTGTAGGTAGTCACGCGCCGTGAACGAGGACGTGGCGGTCAGACTGCCGCGCCCACACTCCGCCCGAGCAGGGGTCTGTGGCTAGCCCTCCGCACAGGCCCGGGGACCAGAGTTGGGCGGGAATCCGGTCCACGCAGTTTAGCGCGCTCCCGGGGACGTGGCGCTTTCCAGCCTATCCCGACTACACGACTGAAGGGCCAATGGCTGCTAGGAAAAACTGTGCGTCAGCGGCGGGTTACTTGATGATTGGTCGGGAGGCGATGGCGAAGCGGATGGAGGCGGGGCCATGGGCCGCTTCCGGCTAGGCGGTGCTTGAACGCGTGAGCTGAGCCCTAGGGTGAACAGCGGCCGCAGTATCCTGGGCTGTGTCGACACCGGGACAGGTAGGTACCGTGGCGCTCAGCCCCTTCACCTTCGTCTTGTCCTTATTCACTTTGTCTGCAACTCTGCCTGGCTCCCGGAGCAGGATGGCCTTTCCTTATTCGCGGCCCGTGTTCCTGCTGGTGCCAAGGCCCGGGAGCTGAGCCTTATCCCAGGGCCTTGGCCGCGCAGTCAGGCCTGCATCGGCTCCCCGCGTCCCCCGCAAGGCCCTGGCGGGGCTGCGTCCCGCTCTGCCATGGCTCCCAGCCACTCGTCTTGTTGGGTACTGTTTTGTGCCTGGCTTGTCCCTGTCCCCTGTCCCCGGGCCCGCCGCTGGGTCCCTTATACGAACTGATCACTTTTGTTTGACCCTGGAGGTCGGAGGGCATTGGGGTAGGGTTATTGTGAGCGTTGCCCGCTACGTCCAGCTCACCGGCCTGCTGGGATCCGCCAGCCCCGCCCCGAGGCCACATCCCGGGAACTGGACGTCTGTGCCAAGAAAGTCGTGCGCTCTGACTTAAGGGTGTGGGAACGAGAGGGGAAAGAACGAATGAAAGCACCATGTGGTATTTTTAAAGTGTGTTCTGTAAATTTTAAATAAAAGTCAAGATGTTCGCGCTTCTGTGTTTATCAGAATATTTAAGTAAGCAACGGAAAACAATTTTAAAAGCTTTAATAGGGAATTGCTTTTTTAAAAAATCATGTTTTGTTGCTTCTAACCCCAGATCCTGGTTTTGATTTTTGATCTGCTGTGTTTAGCAATGAATTTATTTCCCCTCGGCTGGTATAATGAAAAGTAGAATTGAGTGGTTTGCAGTTTAGAAAGCTTGTTTTGCATCAAGGCAGTAACTCCATGGGTGTCCCACTGAACTTTTGGGCCTTTGATCTGAATTTCTAAATATGTAAGGTCCCAAAACAGCATTTTTGAGAACTGAACCAGATTCACTTCCTGGATGAACCATAAAGTCATTGTCAATGAATCCGTAATATGGTTTGCTTCCGATTTGTTTGCGTTCTAATAATCTTATTTATTTATTGAAGATGGAGGTAGAGAACCTTGGGAGCTTTTGATAAATTAATCCTTGCAGTAATATGGAACTTGACTTAAGACAAATGCATGTTTGACCTCATTCTGAAGATTTAGCCAAGTACCAAAGTATAGGATGGTCATCACTAAAAAATTTCAGGTTACGACCTGAAAAACCAAAGATAACCCATAAATTGTACTATTGATGTAGAGAAGATGAATTTGCCAAGTCCTAATCTGTAAATCATTTTACAATGATTTAAGAATTTCCGGTAGTTTGGGGGTTTTGTTTGTTTGCTTAAAAATTATAACTAAGAAACATGAGCTTACAAAAATTGAGTATGTCTGAGTGGATGATATTTACTATAGCTTTAAAATCAGTGTTGCATCATTCTCAGTCATTGTTTGCTTCCATTTATACAGTGATGTATCAAGAGATACTTACTGCTAGCTGTCCCCCATGACTGCTAGCTTTATGTACCTTGTACCTGTATAGGAGGAGATCAGAGCGTTAGTATTGGCACAGATTTTGATGAGGGGCACTGTACTGATGATTGAACCCCCACCTTCACATCATACTACATCTCCAGCCCCCCTCCCACCCCTCATTTTTTCCCTGCGAGGAATATGTAAGTTGCCCCAACTAGGCTCAAACTTGCTATCCTCCTGCCTCTACCTCTGACTCTCAGTCCTGGAATCACAGATGTATGCAAACACATCTGACATCTGGCACAGATTTGTGTGTGTGTGGTGCTCAGTACTGAACCCAGGGCCTTGTGAATGCAAGGTAAGAGCTGTACTACTGAGCCTCATCACCATCTGTGGCACAGATTTATTATGAGATGGATGTGTCAGAGATGTGGAGGGACAGAGGTACAGCTGTTGGAAGTGCTTGGTAAGCCATAAGGCCCTAGATTCTCTATGAACTCTCTTGAATATGAATGTTGCTAATACTGCAATTTATGTATTCAAGTTAAGATAGCTGATAGCTTTTTCCTGTAGTTGACTTTTAGCCAGATGCAGTGAGAGGAACTGAGGATTGGAGAGCACAGATAGACAGGAATTACATTGCTGCCAAGTACCACTCATTTATCCAGTAAAATGTATTGATATCTAAAAAGTCCAAGATAATGATTAGGAACTGCAGAAGTATAATAATCATATTAGCTGAGATGTTGACATTGTTTGTATAATCTGTTGGGGCATTAAGGAGACAATTTAGACTATGATTGTTATTATGTAGTGATACACATTCTATACCATGTAGCAGACTTGATACAGATCACTTCTAACTGAAGTGATAAGAGTAAATGGGTCTTTTCATTTGGAAACCTAAAATTACTCATAAACATTTGGCACTGAAGGAAAGGCGAGCTAAAGTTAACTACAAACTCTCGAGGACCTCATGCATGTTATCCATACACAGCACAATTAAGTAGATAAAAAGCTGCTGTTTATACTGTTTGTTTGCTTTTGAGACAGAGTCTGCTTGTGTAGCCTGGGCTGGCTTGGAACCTACAGTGATGATCCCATTCCAGCCTTTGCTTCCCTAATGCTAGGATTGCAGGTACATGGCACAGTACTGAGGGTTTCCCTACATTTTGCACAGCATTCTTATGTTAATTTATATATTAAAGTTTCATCAACGAAAAAGAAAATTTTTTTCTCCAGAATTCTAGAATTTTTCCCTTCCAAAACAGTTTTTGGTTCTATATTCAGAAAAACTTGGTTTGTTCTGGGTTTCTTTGATTATAAAACTAATAAAGGTTGAGTAATAGTTTGTCATTGTCAATGACAGAATGTATTAGTGAACTAGGGCTGGCAATTTAGCTCAGCGGCAGAAGCGTCTGCCTTGCAAGCAGGCAGTCGTGAGATCGTTCCCTGGTACCAATAAAAAGGAAAAAGACAAAAAAAAAAAAGAATGTATTAGTGAACTTAAACATTCACTGTCATTAGAGAAATGTTAAGTGGTTTGTCAATATCATATCCTTCATCAAACCATGAAGGATGACATTTTTAACTTACATATGTGATTGTCGATTTTAAGTATAAATGAAGAATGCTGGGGTAACGAAATGAGAAGGATCGTTTAGCTTTTCTATCAGTAGATTGATGTTTCTAATTCCTGCCTGGCAAGCAGAAAGTTGTGAGTTCAAATCCCAGTTTTTAAAAAAAAGGCTTCAAAAATGAACTCAAGGCCAGGAATTTAGCTCAGTGGCACAAGTGCTTGCGTGGTAAGTACGAAGTTGTGAGTTCAATCCACGGTACCAAAAAAACAAGTAAAAATAACTCTGCTAATGTTCTTCATAAAAACTTACTTTGTACTGTTGCTTTTCATATCTTTCCTCAACAAAATGTCCTTTGTCTTGCAAGGATATCCTTTGTATCTTCTGGAAAATTTTTGTAGATAAATCTAGTATAGTTCAGTTGATATTTTTTGTTTCCTAATTTTATTGTAATGTGTATATTCATAGTCATAAAACAAGATTGTTAAAGATTTATTTGCTAGGAGTTGATAAATATGAATACGTGGCCACAAAGAGGTTTTATGTTTAATTTTTTGATACAAAATTAGGGATTGAGCCAGGACCTAATACTTTCTTTTTTTTTTTTTTTTTTTTTTTTTTTAAGACAGGGCCTTGCCATTTAGTTGAGGCCGCCCTGGGCTCAGTGTGCAGCCCAGGGTGGCCTCCAACTTGCAGCCATTCTCCTGCCTCAGCCTCCAAGTGCTAGAATTAGAAGGGTATGCCATCATACTTGGCTGAGGACCTCACACTTGTTGGTCAGGCACTCTACTGCTGAGCTGCATCCCCATCCCCAGCCTCTTAAGACTTGTTATTGTGCATGTGCAGGGAATTGAACCCAGCAGCACCTTTGTACTGACATACTTCCGGAGAGAAGTTTTCACCAAATTATCTAGGTAGGGCTTAAACTTGAAATTTGAGTTACAAGTTATTTAAAGTGCAGATTTTTCTTTTTTGGGGTAGGGGGATATTAGGAATTGAACTCATGAACTCATACTTGCCGGGCAGGCACTGTGCCATTGAGCCATATCCTCAGCCAGAGTTTTCATTGGCTACTGCAGATGTGAAAACTAGATAGTAGATCACTGTATTTGGTCATCAGGTGGTCTTTTATGGCTATTTTAGGCCATTTCATCAATGGTGAGATAGCCACATTTTAAGGTGCATGTTAAGGAAGCAGAAGGAGCAATGTAGACAAACACATATGGGGAGTAAAATAACAGAGGGAAAACTTAAAGAACTAGCAGAGTCAGAGAAAGATTAATTTGGCTTGGTGGAGCCCTGAGAAGTTCCTCTTGAGGAACATACAGCAGTGGGGGTTTCACATCTCATTGAGAAGGAGAGGGAAGAGAAATGGATACATTATAAAGCCCAACTAGTTGGCTTTTACTGTCTCTGGGTTCTTCTTGTATCCTTGAATCAAGATGTTAAGCCTCAAACATAAGCGTAGTTTTTCCTCTAAGCCACAAAGTCTGTTATATATACACATTGCATATATACTGAATGTCTCAAAATTGTCTACAGTATCTTTTCCACGTGAAAGTTTTTTTCAGCATTTATCCATATTTGGTGTTTGCAAGAATTGTAAATGTTTTATGTTGTATTTTATTCTGAGAGTGTAATAAACCACTTGTAGAACTTTTCTAAATGTGCAGTTCCCTTATGAGTAGTAATATGGGAAATCCTTTGTTGCAGTGACTATTTTACTTTTTTCTGTGAGCCTCCAACATTATAGATATTCCTATCACCAAACACCAACAACGTATTCTGTTTCTAGAGTTTTATTTATATAGAGAATTATTTGTATTTTGCGATAGAGGAGAGGTGTTGTTTTTGTTTTCTTGTTTTTTTGGTTTTGTTTGTTTTGTTTGTTTGTTTTGTACCAAGAATGGGGCTCAGAACCTTGTGCTTACCAGGCAGGCACTGTGCCAATGACCCATATCCCCAGCCCTCTAATTTTCTCTTCTAGCCATCTGATTTGACAGATCAGCTGAGTTATTAAGGGTCAGCAACAGTGTTACTTGTCTACAGTGCTAGCAGACCTGGACTAAATAGTAAGATCCTGTCTTACTATTTAAAAAAAAAGAGAGAGAAAGAAAAGAAACAAATAAATAAAAGGGTTGCCAATACTGGCCTAGAACAGTGTTTACTATAAAAATAACATGTCTTGGCCCTGCATGGTGGTGCAAGGCCATAATCCCATCATTCAGAAGGCTGTGGCAGAAGGATCGCTGCAAGTTCGAGGCTAACCTGGGCTACAAAATAAGTTTAAGGCCAACCTGAACTGTATAGTGAGACCCTGTCTCAAAGGACACAATATATCTTTAAAATAGATATGTTTCTTTAAATTTCTTTTTTCAGTCTGGAAAAATAGCTTGAAATTATTTGCCACCTACTATTGAAAGAATTTTTGAAATATTGTTTAAATTAGAAAGTAATACACACAAGAAGGCAATCACGAGAATGTGATCATTAACAAAGATCAGGCAACACTGTGCAGTACATTTTTGTTTGTTTGCTTGCTTGCTTTTTTGAGATAAGGTCTGGCCTAGTAACTCATGGCGATCCTGCTGCCTCAGCCTCACCAACCCGCCCAGCATCTTCGTTGAGGGTGAGAATACTGGGGATTGGAATCAGGGCCTTTGTACTGAGCTACATCCCTAGCACCTCACCCCTTTTTGTTGGAAACAGGATTTTGCTATGTACTTCAAGCTGGCCTTGAACTCACTATGTAGCCCAGTCTAGCTTTGCTTGCGCCAGGATCCTCCTGCTTCAACCCTGAGTGCTGGGATTACACAAATGCAGCACTGCACCTGGCTTTAATGTGTTGTTTTGAAACAGTCTTTTGAAACTGTTGAATTAAAAAAAAAAAAGAAACTGCTGTATTACCCAGCCTGGGCTCACCCTCCTGAGTGCTGGAATTAAAGGCGTACAACACCATGCCTGGCCACTTTCCTTTACTCTTAAGGAGTCTTTATATACCACATTTACCATCACCTGTGCTAAGCATTTATAATTTTTTTTTTTAACCCAGAAGGCTCTATAAATCCAAGCTAGTACAGTATGACTTCATTTGACTTGTTGGGGGAGGGAGTACAAGGAAAATATATACATTGAAAGATGTGTAATATACTGACATATTTAATTTCCTCATCTCCTGGTACAGTTCACTCCATTCTAGTTCCCAAAATGTTGAGGCAGGATCCCATATAGTGGTTCTAGGATTCTGTCTGAATTGAGAGCTTCTGAGTTAGAAACTGCTAAAAATTTTCTTACTTTTTTTTTTCTTTTATAAGTATTTACATGTAAAATGCAAGCACTTAGACTAGTTCCACTGGTTCTGTCCGGGAAAGGTGAAGTCTAGCTGGTTTAATCTGCAGACTGAGATAAGCGAATACATTTAACTTTCATGTGATACAGTGTAACTCTACTCATATTACTTTCCTGGCATTGCTGGCACAAGTTGATACAAACTGAGTAGTTTACAAGAACAGAAAATCATTCTTTGTTACAGTTCTGGAAACTGTAAATTCAAATCATAGGTGGCAGCAGGACCATGCTCTGGAAGGGCTCAAGGGGAGGATCTTTCTTTGCCTAATGCCAGGTTCTGGTGGTTGTCAGAAGTCCTTGGTATTCTCTGACATATGGATGCATCATTTCAGTCAATACCTTTTTTATCCCCATTCTGCTATGTATCCAAATTTCCCTTAACTTTATAAAGACAGCAGTTTTAGGATTAGGGCCCACCCTGAACTAGTATGGCCTTATTTTAACTTGATGACGTCTGCAAAGAAAGGCACATTCACAATTACTTGGCATTGAGGATAATGGGAAATGAATGAGATAATATGAAGTTGCAAAACATTTTCAATGATAGACTTTTAGAGTTTATATTCCACTGATGAAAGACTAATTAAAATACAAAAACCTAGAAAAATCCTTCACATTGATTTATTTCATTAAACTCGGGACACTGAGGTACTATACAGCCCCAGGCCTTTTTTATTTTGAGACAGTTTCTCTACTTTACCCAGTGTGACTTAAAAGATGAGATCTTCCTGCCCAGCCTCTCAAATAGGTAGGATTATAGGCATGCCCTACCAGCCCCATGACTTTCACGTTTTAGTCCTTCAAGGTCTTAAAAACTCTCTGGATAATATTGTGAGGTATTTAGAGTGTGTTAAGCAAGTTGTGTTTTTTTTGTTTGTGTTTTTTCTGCTGGGAGTTATACTCAGGGCCTGGGCCTTGTCCATGCTAGGCACGCACTTTGCATACCTATCCCAGAAACAAGTTTCTAACTTATTTTTTCCTGCAGTTTTTTAGTCACTGTTATTGTTGATACATTGTGTGAACTTAAGAGTTTAGAAGTTTAACTGAGAGACTCAGCAGGGAGCTGGGGTTCTTACTTTGAGGGCACACGTGCCCTGATTGGGGGTGGGGTGGCCACAAACAATATAAGAGGAAAAGAGACTTTCTTACTCTCCTTTTGCTCTGGCTGCTGCCTTGAAGTGTTGTCCAGTGCCATGCCAGCCTGCCTTGGAGCCAGTTGATTAAGGGCTGAAACCTCCACAACAGTGAGCTAAATAAACCATTTCTTCCTTCCTTTTGGATGTTAGGTATTTTGCCCCAGCAATGAGAGAAAAGTAACCAAGATGGTCACATTTTTCAGTAAAGTTGTTCCTGCCTTGTTCTTGTTCATTAGATTTACCTGTGACTGCAGAGGGTCTGAGGTCTGGAGTAGGGCCTGGTACCTAATTAGGTAGTAATGCAAATGATTCTTATACTTGGGCAAGTTTGGGAAACAGAAGTATACAGAAAGATGAAGAAAGTGTTGTCCAGTCTTTCTGGATGGTTGGTGATTGAAGGTAATTCAAAATTAGTTAGCATATGCAAGGCAGAGTTGGTGCCGCAGATCAAAGAAGCTGAGCTTTTCATTGCTTCCTGATCTGGTGATATTCTGAATCACTTAGAAGCATCTAAAGCTACAGATACCTGAATTCATTGTGAGAGATTCTAAATCCATGGGGGAAACTTATTATTGCTTCCTTACATGATTTTAATAACTAGCCAAGTTTCAAGGCCAGACTACTGGTACAGTACAAAAAATAAAGGATTTGAAGTCAGAATTTCAATTATGGTTCCTTCACTTTTAATTCTTATCAAATTGACCACAGATTCTACTTTAATATCCTTTAAGGAGACTCTACTTACAAAGAGGATATTGTAGTTATAAAATTCCCATCAGTCTACAGTCAGATGAAGGCAACTGGTAAAGATTTTCTGTGTAAAAACACTAGAGAATTTGAGTCTACCATACTTTATGTGTGAAGTACTAATTTTGAGTAATACAGATAACTTGCATAGAATTGTGTGTCAAATTAGTGGTTTAACTGGAATGTGAGCTTTGACTTATTGTTTAATTCTTAGGCACATTGCCTCTATAGTAACCACCTTTTGTTTTCTTTTAAGATCTGATCATGGACCTGCGACAGTTTCTTATGTGCCTGTCCCTGTGCACAGCCTTTGCCTTGAGCAAGCCTACAGAAAAGAAGGACCGTGTACATCATGAGCCTCAGCTGAGTGACAAGGTTCATGACGATGCCCAGAGTTTTGATTATGACCATGATGCCTTCTTGGGGGCTGAAGAAGCAAAGACCTTTGATCAGCTCACACCAGAAGAGAGCAAGGAAAGGCTGGGGTAAGGCACCAACTCTCAGGGATGGTTAGGGTAGTTCCTTTCTTTACACATCAGCTAATTCTTTTTTTCTTTTCTGGTTCAGTCACCACTAAAGCTGTGCTGAATGTATTTTCTAAAAGCTAACCACTAAAACGTATTTTTTAAGTGTCTGTTTTTATACATTTTGCCGTTGAATTAACAGTTTGTACGTCATTCTGCAAAGCAAAATAATTTTTCACAAAACTGCCCAATACTATAGGATCTAGCTTGAACTGCATATCTTGATCACAGAATATTACCTGGAATAATTTTTTTTTTTTTAAATCTCTGCTACTTTTAACTTGGAAATCTGATACCTAGTATTCATTGTTGCCCAGGCCAAGTCTTTGAGTGGGTAACTACAAATTGACTCTTGGTCTATTGCATTCTATAAAACTTGTGATTTCCCAGAATGTCCTTCAACAAAAACCAAATAAACCAATCTTGCCTTTTAGAACATTATGGCAAGTGATGATTTTAACATTCAGATGAGTTACGGTTTTCAGTAGTGGCCAGATCATGCTCAGGTTTTGTGGGTCTTAGCAGATAGTTTTTTACCTAACGAGCTGATTGATTAGAAGCGAAACCAGTTATGTGTAACTGGAAGCCTGAGAATGTCTTTTTTGGGTCTTCTAATGCCTTGTTTTAAAAAATGCAGGTGATAGGACTGGGCGGCGTGGTTGTACATAATCCCAGCACTTGGGAGGCTGAGGCAGGAGGATCAAGTTTGAGGCCAGCCTGGGCTACATAGTGAGTTCAAAGCCAGCCTGAACTATCTGGTGAGACTGTGTCTCAAAAAATCAAGAAAGAAAGAAAGATGCAGTGAATTCGTAAAAAAAAAAATTTGATGCAACATTGAGCATTTCACTCAAGAGATTTTGTGGCAAGTTGTACCGTTAACACTTCTAAAAATATTTTGTCATGGTTAGTGCTATAATTATAAATTATTAGAGAATTTGCTTTGGGAGATACTTAAGTATCAATTTATTCTTACGTTTCCTGCGAACTAAAGGATACAATATTTTATCCTCTAACATTGATAAAAGTAATCAAAAGATTTTGCCGTAAGGAATGAACAGCTATTCCCAGTCATTTAAAAATAGGTATATAGAAATCGTAGATCAAAAAGTCTGTCTATTAGGTTGCTATTCGGACTTTGAGAGACCATGCTTACTTTCAGTTTTAGTCTTATACTATGTTAACATTCCAGGCTGAAAATAGAGGTGCATGAAGGTATTCTCAGTCTTTATGTCATGCCAATTAATACTGTACATGTCCAACATTATGTTCTGCACAGATCTCTGCAAATTTCGTCTCCTCCTCCTCCTTCTTCTTCCTCTTTTCTTCATCATCTTGTTGTCTTTCTCCTCTGCCTCCTCTTCTTCCTCTTTCTCATCTTCTTCCTCTTCGTCTTCTTCCCATCTTTTTCCTCTTCCTCTTTTTCTTCTTCCTCTTCCTCTGTCTTCCTCTTCTTCCTCATCCTCTTCTTTGCATCTGCTTCTGTTCTGCTTCATGAGACAGGGTCTCACTATGTAATCTAGGCTAGCCTTGAAATCACTATAATACCAGGCTGGCCTTAAATTTGTGATGATTCTCCTGCGTCAGCCTCTGAAGTGCTGGGATTACAGGCAGGTACCACCATACCTAGCAGAATTACCTAAGTAATGAAGAACCTTTAGGTTTGGGGCCACTTAGGAAACTCAGTACTTAAATGAAGATGTTCTGCCTGTTTGCAGTAGGATAGTTTTTAGTAGGAAAAAAATGCTGTTTTTGTCATCTGTAGATATTATCAAAAGTTTAACACATGAACAGACTACTTAATTAGTAAGAGGAAACAGCCATTTTTTTAAAAAAATTGAACTGAGTATAATGCTATTTGCTTCTCCCAAGTATAGAGATAGTGACAGATATCCTGGTTTATGCCTTGACTACTGGGGAAGTAAGACTCCTAGGTGGACTTCTGTTTGTACTGTGGCGTTTTTTGAGACAGGGTCTTGCTGTATAATTTAAGGCTGGCCTTGTACTCACTATGTAGCTGAGGCTGCGCACAAACTCACAGTGACCCTGCCTCAGCCTCCCTCCCAAGTGCTGGGATTATAGATGTGTGCCACCATGCCCAGCTACTGTGGCATTTCTAAACATTGTTTTGGTAAGTAATTATATACCAGAGGTTGGAAAGAACAGATTCCATCCTTCCTTTTTTAAAATCTTCCTATAAAGCAAATGATTATTGAGAAAGTCATTGTTTATACTAAGTTGCAAAAATTTACTGTTTTTGCAATTTTCAATATCTAAAAGACCACAGGAACCTTTATTGATTTATTTATTTATTTTTCCTGTCTTGAGACAGAGCCTCTATACAGTTCAGGCTGCCCTTGAGTTCACTTTGTAGCCCAGGCTGATTTTGAATTTGCAACAATCCTCTTACTTCAGCCTCCCGAGTTCAGGGATTATAGGTGTGTGCTACCACACCTGGCTCAAGCATTTTTAAATGGATTTAATATACCATTTTTTATATCTTTTTCTTATTAAGAATGTTAGCAAATAAGACATGGTTTTCTATGTGTTTGTATTACCATTTTCCTCTACTGGCAAGAAAAAAAAAAAAAAAAAACCTATGTATGCTTTTCACATATGTGTCCTTTAGTGAAGGTTTTTGTTTCGAGGTGGTAATTCTTAATGTGAAAAAGTTCTCATATTATGCTTTGGAGGGTTCACAGGTTCAGACCCTTTGAGAGAAACTAAGAATTCCCCTTCAGAGAAGTGCACACATGAACAAATATGCGGAAATTTTGTTTTGGTTTTTGGTGGTACTGAAAGTTAAGCTCCAGGCTTCTCATTGAATTGCAGTTGTCCCAGCTTCTCTTGAACTTTTGATCCTCCTGCCTTAGCTTTCCAGGGTGCTGAGATTATACACATAGGTATTTGCTTCATGCCACTTGAATTGTAGGAGCACGTATTAACCTCTTAAGAGATATGGCATGAGTTCCACTAAGTGCATTGCATCTGTTTTAGTCTGAATGCTTGCTTAGTGGCACCATAATTGAATCCATGGTTCTCCAATATCATAGGGCTATACATTACTTCTGAACTTCCTCAGCCCTTAACTATCAGAGTTTAGAACTTCATGCCATTAATAGGATGTATTCGCTTCCAAGATACTTTCATAGCTGCCTGCAAACTAAATGGGCTACAAGAGTGGCTTTCACATTTGTTTGTTTGTTTGTTTGTTTGAGACAGTTTCTCCTGTGCAGTTCAGACTGGCCTTGGACTCACTTTGTAGCCCAGGCTGGTCTTTTTTTTTTTTTGTCTTTTTCATTTTTATCGGTACCGGGGATCGAACTCACGACCTGCCTGCTTGCAAGGCAGGTGCTTATGCCGCTGAGCTAAACCCCCAGCCCTGCCCAGGCTGGTCTTAAACTCCCAACAATCTTCATGGATCCTCCTACCTCAACTCCTCAACTTCCTGAAAGCTGGGATTACAGGCATGTGCCACCATGCCCAGTGGCTTTTACATTTTACAGTGTTGTTATATGTGTGCACACATGGATGAGAGACCACATGTGACCCACAAAGTAAAAAATATTTATGTATTCCTTTCCAAAAAAAAAGTTTACCAATCCCTCAGTTAAACCACTGAATATTTCCATCCATCTTCATTAAGAAAAGCCCATCTTGGACAGTCATATGTCTTTTTTTATCTGGGTGATCCATCTCCAGGCTATTTATAATAGTGTAAAAATACTTTCAGGGTATGGCGAGGGTTCTCATACATCATTCAATTTTTGTTTTTGTAATGGCACAGTGACACTATTTGTACACAAACTGGATCCTATTACTGTAAAGATAATGTTTGCAGTATTTCATCTATTAATATTTTTTAATTTCTATAGATATTTTTAAATTTTTCCTTACATACATATAGAAGGATATTTCAGAGACAGCTTTACTTTTTCAGAGCTAAAGCTACAAGATTATACATTCTCTGAAGGAAAATACTTATTATTTATAGAGTTTAGGTAATAGTTACAACTAATATATCAATATCAAGATAAGTCTCTGTTTACAATGTCACTAGTATTCTGTGATTCTAATCACACTACCAGGTGAGTTATATATATATATATGTATGTATGTATGTATGTTGGTTTGTTGGTGTTTGTTTATTTAAGAAGGTCTTGCTGTGTAGTTCAGCCTGGCCTTAAACTCTGAGCAGTCCTGTCTCTACCTCCTGAATGCTGGGATTACAGGCATGGGCCACCACACCTGGCTCTCATGTTATATTTATGAAATTAACACAAACTATGAAAAGACAGTATAGTATTTGCTACCAAGAGACAGTCTTTCAGTTTAGCAGAAGAGTATGCCAAGATTTCACTGGCGCTAGAAATTTGTTTTACAGTTCCAGTTCTAAACTGTATATTTATTTGTGTGACTTCCATACATTTGTTAGAGCCTCTGTAGGCAGTTGCATCATTAACCAGTAGTTTTGATATCATGAACATATTTGTTAACCCTTAACATGACAGACATGGAAGAAATAAGCTCACAACAGGAGAAGTACATTGATTATTTAGCTTGTTTTGCTTTGTACTCTGCATACTAATCCTCTCAGCTTTCTAACAGTCTCACAAAGATAACATATACATCCTTATTTCATTTCCTTACAATTCTCTGTTTTCACTGTTACATGTAAATGTCCAACTCAATAAAGTATAAAAAGCTATTTTTATAGAAATATTCTTCTGTGTATCTGTTTTTAAAATAATTGTGCCTTGAAAGTGATCCAAGAATCATATTTGATACCTATGTTTTGAGAAAAAGTATTAATTTTTTTCTAAAGGCAGATTCATTTTTAAAGTCTGATTTAAATGTTTTGACTATTTTAAGAAACCAGTGTTAGCAGTTGTGCTTATTTACCAAGAAAATTCTGTCCTAAGCTCAAGAAGCAAAAACACAAAAATTTACTTTTTGATGCAAAGAGAGCCTAGATGAGCATTTACTCCTAAATTCTGACCATAGGCTTAAACCTAACAGATGGTAGAGCCTGAGCTTGTTTTGGAGCCCTATGTACCAGCCGCAAATGCTTACCTTAACCAGAGGCCTCATTACAGGCCAGTAATGGCCACTTAAAAGTGTTCAGTGGCCTGTCTGACAGTTTTGGGACATTTTTTATTTTGGGTTAGCTCTAGGCAAGACCTCTGGTCACAGCACCATCTGGCTATGTCCAGAGCTTTGTGTCCTTTTAACCTCTTGCTGGATTTCTCTGCATTTTCTACAGAAAAATTGTAAGTAAAATAGATGGCGACAAGGACGGGTTTGTCACTGTGGATGAACTCAAAGACTGGATTAAGTTTGCACAAAAGCGCTGGATTTACGAGGATGTAGAGCGGCAGTGGAAGGGGCATGACCTCAATGAGGACGGCCTCGTTTCCTGGGAGGAGTATAAAAATGCCACCTACGGCTACTTTTTAGGTAGGTCCCTACTATCTGGGGGAAAAAGCCTTGTGGAGCCGGCACCTTGAAACGTAACTGTTTTGTCTTGTAGAATGATTGTAGATAAAATAGACGTGGATAAAGATGGGTTTGTGACGGAGGGGGAGCTGAAATCCTGGATTAAGCACGCCCAGAAGAAATACATATATGACAATGTTGAAAACCAATGGCAGGAGTTTGATATGAATCAAGACGGCTTTATCTCCTGGGATGAGTACAGAAACGTGACTTATGGCACTTACCTGGGTAAGGGGCGAGGTGTCAGCCTGGCCGAGACCATGGTCTTGAGTCAAAGAAACAAATGGGTCACACAGTAAAGGAAAAGAAGAAATCCTGGCTATCTTAAATAGTTACATGCTGAGCTGGTTCCAGTTTAAATTGATATACTTTTAAGTGTTTAAATTTTGGTTTGCCAAAGCCTGGCCGTATTTTACTACTTTTTCCCATCATCCCTCATAGAAACAACTTTTAGAGTATGTCTTATTTGAAAGGTTACATTATCCCAGCAATGCTAGGCAAAAGCTTTAAAGTGTCTCTTCACATGGTCCCATTAAAATGTGGACCTACAATTCAAACCAGACTAGATTCCTTTATAATTGGTAAAAGTAGGAGGAAAATTACTGCCTTCGTTACTAAAATAAAATTCAGATAAAATGCCTTTCCTTGATAAAATTGAACTATTTTAGTACATCTGCTATTGAGTTTGGAAATGAAGATTTCCCATTTGTCTTCTCTGGCACATGAGTGTATTAGCTGGCTTTGCAAATGCTTTAAGGCAAATCAATGTTACTTTGGTTGCTTGTGTTGATTTAGAAGCTTTTCTGTTTATTTGGCCACATGATTGAGTTTTGTTTTTTTGTTTTTTTTAAATCAGTACCGGGGATCGAACTCACGACCACGCGCTTGCAAGGCAGGCGCTTATGCTGCTGAGCTAAATCCTCAGCCCCTGAGCTAAATCACCAGTCCCCACCTGATTGATTTTGTTTAACATTTTTACATGTGCCTGTTGCTAAATACTACTATAAGTGGCACTTTACAGAGTTGATGAATAGTGTCTTTTTATTGTGAGATTTCTGCGTTGTACGTGGATATAATTTGAGGCAAACGTGTAAATGGTACTTGTATTTTTATCCTGGAAATTAGTCAGGTTTCTGGGTTCAAGCAAGAGTCCTCCAGCACTGACTAAAAGTGAGTGTATAATGCTCTGTCTTCCTACCAGAGAGCCAGCTGCCTGTGCTAATCACAGGAGTGCATGTGTTCCTGGTGAAGAGACTTATTTCTGTATTGGGCTTGTTCTCATTCCTAAGACTAAAGTGGCAAGCTCTCAGTGCTTGACACTTAGCCAAGAACCAAACATATCCTTTACCCAATTAAGAACATGTGTATTAAAAAACCAGCACAGATGGAGAGGCATCCTGTGTTTCTTGCTCTCTGGCTGAGACTCACTATCCTTCTTACTCATTCAGAATTAATTATAAATGTAAAGCAAAAGGGTAGGCTAGTGGTAGTCTAAACAAAATGGTGTGTTAATAAACGGCAACTCAGACCTAGGTTCTCACTCACTGCCCAGAATGCCTTCTCAGCTGTGTGTGATTATGTGCATAAAGATCTGTCAAAAGCCCTACTCCCTCGAAGGCAGATGATTCAATGTGATGGGTATTTCTACTGCCTGAAACTATACACAAACTGAAATGCTGGCTGAGAAACAATGTCTTTATAAGGCGTCTTTCCCTGGAGGCCTGCTGGTAGACAACCCTAGGGGGTAAGGAATTGGCTTAGATAAGTGCTGAGTTTTTGTGAGTGTTTCAGTTCACTTTTGAGTTCAGGTATAAATCATTCTCAGCTGTTAGTAAAGTCTTTCTCCATGAATTCACTATCTACAAAAAGAATATTAACACTATTTGCTAAAAGTAAAATACAAAATACTAACATTTAAAATTAGTGACCAAACTAGGTGTGGTGTCACATTCTTGTAATCCCAGCACTCGGGAGGCTGAGGCAGGAGGATCGTTGCAAGTTCAAGACCAGCCTGGGCTACAAAGCAAGCTCAAGACCTGCCTGAACTGCATATCGAGACCCTGTCTCAAAGAGACAAAAAAATTAAACTAGTGACCAAGATTAGATTAAGAACCTACCTGATGCTATGTACAGGCCAGCAAGGGCCATAGAGTGATGCAAGTGTAGCACTCCTAGCAGCTATAGACATAAATTGTTATTAAAAATAAAGCATTGCATCTTTTTCCATTCCTTTATGTGTGGGAGGAAGGCTTTTAACTGAGAATCTGAAAATGTAAGTTAGCTTCTGTGTTAGTTGATACTACAACTTTGTTTAGAAGACATGACTTATCTGAGAAAATGGTATTTTCCCTAAATTCTCCATCTTCCAACTATATGGGTTTGAGTATACATATACATGGTCCCAAAACCTCATGTATGATTCAGTACACTGTCTTCCTAAGTTTTTGACAGTCAACAAAATTTCAAACTACATGATACAAAAATAGCAATTTTTAAAATTTTATTTTTTTAACTGTGCTCAATATGTGGGAATATTTAATTATATTGTCAACAATAATACCTTGGGGGAGAGTATTTGGGGATTAAATGCAGGGCCTATTAGCTCTATCAAGATATAAGTAGCATAAACTGCATATTTAAGTGCACAATTAATAAGTTTTTGACATATGTGTATACTAGTGAAACTATCACTGTAATGAAGAAATGATTATCACCCTCCAAAATTTCATGTATCTTAGCACCTTTCCTGTGCCCCTGTCCATAGTAACCACTGGCATACTTGCTGTAGTGTATGTTTTCTAGAATTTTACATAAATGGAAAACAAACAGTCCCTGTAACACTTGATAAGATTTCTGAGCTGGAAGGGGTGGGAGGGCAGGGGGACAGAGTGTGACCTTTCAAAGTGATGGTCTGTTACTTGATTTCAAGTGTCCTTATTTTATGAGACAGAAGTCCTTCAACATCTAGCTTCTTAATGGAGGCTAATGTTTAATAAAAATAGCAATAGCTAGGGGCTGCAGGTTTAGCTCAGCAGCATAAGCACCTGCCTTGCAAGCAGGCGGTCGTGAGTTCGATCCCTGGTACTGATAAAAATGAAAAAAAAAAACAAATAAATAAATAAATAGCAATAGCTGACATGTATTGAATGCCAACTGTATGCCAGGCATTTTCCTAAGCACTTAGCCTAGGTTTTATTCTCATAACAGCCGTATGAGGCAGGCACTATTATTCGCATTTTACAGATAAGTACCTGAGGTATAATAACTCACATAACTTAAGTTACACACAAGAACGTACAGCTAGGAATGGTAGAGTTCAAACCCAGACAGTATGGCTGTAGAGCCACCACTGTCTACAGGATATAACTAGGAAATTTAAGCCTTCTGTCAGTCTTAACACCAGTAATGATGAGTAACCCAGTATTACCTATTGGGTCAGAGTTCATGTTGGAGGGCAAACATTTACATTCTGCTTAAACCTGATTCGAGATATGATTTCAGGAGCTTAAGCCACAAGCTAAATGTCTACAGTATTGCCTATGGAATGAAGTTATTTCTGGATTGTTTGGTTTAATTTTACCTGCAGAATCAAGAGCTATTTCTGGGCTGAGGCTAAAGCTCAGCTACACAGTGCCTGCCAGGCAAGCGCTGGATCGTGAATTCAATTTGTGGTATCAGAAAAAAAAGTTATTTCTGCCTTGCCAGGTTTATCCTTCTTGGAAATTGATTCAACACCCCCACATATTTCGTGTTTACCAGGAGCCCTAAAGATGTGATGTAAATTTTCATTTTCTAGATGATCCAGACCCTGATGATGGATTTAATTACAAACAGATGATGGTAAGAGATGAGAGGAGGTTTAAAATGGCAGACAAGGATGGAGACCTCATTGCCACAAAGGAGGAATTCACAGCTTTCCTGCACCCTGAAGAGTATGACTACATGAAAGACATAGTAGTACAGGTGGGTCAGGGATTCTAAACGAGACAGCTCTGTTTGTCCTGCTCTTTCCTATGTTGTTCCCCTCTTTAGCCCTCCTGGTGTGTTTGGAAGAATGATTTGCTCTGTAGGTGCTGGCCAGGCTCAGCATCTGTTTTACGTACAAGATAATAATCTTTAACAAGATAATGATCCTCATCAGATTACTTACTTGCCATTTCAATAGTTGTTTCTTAAAGTAAAAAGGAAGGAAGACTTTTTTTTTTCTTTTTTAAATAATACCCTGTAACCAGTAGTCAGAATTCTCACAGAAAGCATTTACTAGTAACATAGTCTAGAGTTAGGAACATAATCACTGGTCATGTTTCCTATAACCTGGCCTTACCTGACTATAGTTGGTATCATCAAGCAGTGTCAGTGCTCCTCTAAGAAAACTCTTCCTTATCTTAGGTCGAAGCGCAAGAAATTGCTAATGTTCTACCATTTCCTAGCTAGAAAAGAATTACTTTCCAGTGGTTTGAACTATGCAGACACACCATACTTTCTCATGGGCAAATTCATGAAGAAATAAATTTACAAGTCTCTTGTTCTTTTCTGTTTAGGAAACAATGGAGGATATAGATAAGAATGCTGATGGTTTCATTGATCTAGAAGAATATATTGGTAAACCTCTCTTTCTAGTTTTTGGGGTTTTTTTGTTTGTCTCTGTGTATTCGTTGGGGAGGGGGTTGTTTTTGTTTATGTGTGTTTTTTGAGACATAGTATATAGTCCAGGCTGGCCTTCAACTCATAGCAATCCTCCTGCCTCAGCCTCTTAATTGCTGGAATTACAGGCATGCACATGTAGTATTTTTCTTAGAAGAAGCTGAGACACTTTGGAAGATGTAATCCTCCATAGAAACAATTTGCCCTGTGTTCAACTTTTACTAGATCTTTATGCTAATTCAGTGTAATGAATAGTGTGTTTGTTGTTGTGGTTTTGGTCTTTTTTGAGGCAGGGTTTCATTGTATGGTTCAGGTGGGCCTTGAACTCACTTTATGGCCCAGACTGGCCTCAAATTCGCAGTGATCTTCCTGCCTCAGCCTCCTGAGTGCTAACTAGTGGGTTGTGATGAAGTATCCTAGTAGTGCTGTCCAATCAAAATAGGAATATGAAACACGTACATAATTTTAATTTTTCTAATAACCATAGCAAAAAGTAACGAGCAAGTGAAATTAATTTTAAGAATGTACTTCAGGCCAGGCATGGTAGCACATGCCTGTAATTCTAGCACTTGGACATCTGAGGCAAGAGAACTGCTAGAGGCTAGCCTGGGCTACAAATTTAAGGCAAGCCTAAACCGAGCTCCATGGCAAGACCTTGTCAGGAAAACAACAAAGCATGCACTTTTAGTCAAGCTGACATTCTAAAACACTATAATCACTATTATTGATGAGATCACTGAGGGGTTTTTTTTTTTAACTTCATGTATCTAGCACATCCTAGTTTGGACCAGCCACATTTTAAGGGCTCAGTAGCAATAACTACTTGTAGCCACTGGCTACTATACTGTATAGCAGAGATATTATATATCATGTATCACATGTGCCCTGGAATTGATGGTAAACTGTTGCAGGGAGCCTAGGAGACTCAAGTGGACAATTAGGATTAACTGGCACACCTTCTTGGCTTCTCTTATGTAAAGTATATATCCTCCAGTTCTACTTAGGTTGCCACAGATGACAGGATTTTATTATTTTTATGGTGGAATAGCAGTCCATTATATATAAATACCCTTTTGGGGAGATGGTGAGACAGGATCTTGTATGTAGTTCACACTGGCCTGGAACTCACTATGTAGCTCAGGCTGGTCTCACACTCAGTGCCTCCTGCCTCAGCTTCCTAGTGCTAAGAGTACAGGCGTGTGCCACCACACCTGGCTTATACCATATTTTCTTGATATATATCCATCAGTGGACATCTCAACCAGTTCCCTGTCCTGACTACTATGAATAATGCTGCAATAAGGTGTCTCTTAGATACACTGGTTTCATTTCCTTTGGATATGTAACCCAGTAGTGGAATGGTTTAATCATATGGTAACTTTATTTAGTCTTTGAGGACCTCTGTATTGTTTTCTATAATGGCTACTAATTTACCATTTAGTGGTTTATAAGAGTTTCCCTTTCTTCACAGCCTCACCAGCATTTGTTATTTTTATCTTTCTAATACAGCCCTTCTAACTGGGATGACACTCCCTGTGTTGTTTGTTTTTTTGCATGTATCTGATAATAGCGAAATTGAACACTTTTCTCATACACTGTTGGCCATTTGTAAATCTTCTTTTTGAGAAGTGTCTGTTCAGATCATTTGAGTCCTTCCCACCCACCCTGTTTTTTGTACCAAGGATTGAACTCAGGATCTTGTGCTTGCCAGGGAGGAACTTAAACCACTGAACTAAATCCCCAGCGCCCCCATTTATTTTGACTGGATTATTTTTTGGTTTTGATGTTTTATTTTCGTATTTGTTGCTCTTGTTTGAGTCCCTTGTATATTAATCCCTGGTCAGATGAATAATTTGCCAACATTTTCCCTGTTTTGCTGGTTGTCCCTTTACTCTCCTGTTGATTATCTCCTTTTTTTGTGCAGAAGCTTCTTAGTTTGATAAACTCTCATCTGTCTGCTTTTACTTTTTTCTCATAGTTTTATAGCTTGATAGTTATATAGTTGTACATTTAAATCCTTATTCATTTTGATTTGATTTTTGTGTGTTTAGAGATAAGGGTCAAATTTCAGTCTTCTACATACACGTATCTGAATTCCCTAGCACCACTTGTTTAAGAGGCTGTCCTTTCTCCAGTGTATTTTTTGACCCCATCATAGAATATCACTTGGATATACATGTGTAGATGTATTTCTGAGTTCTCTAGTCTATTCCTTTGTTACTTTACATTCTTATTTTTGCTCATAGCAACTTATTTACTGAAACACTGGATTTCTGTTTCAGGTAATTTGTTTGTTTTTAGACCTCTCTGATTTTTGCCTGAAATATTTACCTTAAGTCTAAAAAGGAGAATTAAAGTCTGCCTCTGTCAGCTGTCATTAAACTGCATTGAACAAAGTCACTTCTTTTGTTAGACATTGTTTAATTATACCAACTAGGGGAAGACAAATTGGGAGACGGAGAGTAAGGTTTTTCCCAAAATGATTTTTTAATGGAGTTCATCAGGGCAGTAGATAAGAAGTGCCTGAGTGTTTTCTGACCCAAGCTGATGCTTATAGGATTTTCTACTTTTAAATATTTTATCATTTTTATTCTTGGCTTTTGCTGTTTTGTCACCACTGTTAAAACTAAGAACTCACTTACTTGGTCCTCCAGTTTAAGGTTTATCACTGTTAAGTAACATCACTTACCAAATATTGAGGCCAAATAAGGAAATGGTTCTGTCTCCCTCCACATCATCTGGTTTCAAGAGCAGAGGAGTTTTATGTGCCAGTTTCTTCCCTGTTGAGGACAGAGCATAAAGTTCTTTGCTTCTTATATGTAGCATTGATAAGCACCCAGAGTTACACTGATTAATTGTTTTTGTTTTAAGTTTATTATAGAGGGGCAGCCCATTTTCTGGGCCCTCTCTGTTCCTCTTAGAAACATTCCTTCTCTCAATAAATTCTTTCTACTCTTAACCTCTGTTGTTCCTAGAGTTCATCCCCCGATTTTAGAAAACACATACACACACAAAAATAAATTTAGTATAGAGCGTTTCAAACACAAAATCAGAATAACGAGTCCCCATGCCTTTGTGCCCCAGCATCTCTCAACCCTCAATCACCTTTTCTCAGTCTCATCCATTTCTTTACTTCCTTTCTTACTATGAAGAAATCTTATCATTTCATTTCATCTGTAAATATTTGGTTATATATCTCTAAGATACATGTATATTTCTAAAAACTTTCTTTAAGACACTCTCAACCAAAAATTAGTAATTCCTTAATATTATACAAAAGGTTGAATTCCTTTTAAGTAGAAATGTAAATGCTATATTTTTATCATCTTTAGTCAGCAGTGTTGTGTAGTATATTATAGCTTCTGTTAAAGCTGTATCCTTTAACATATGTCCATTCCCTCTCATTCAGAACTTTCCAGTCTGTGTACCATGAGCATGGACAGGGCCCTGACCCAGTGACCATTTTCCAAATGTAGGAGTAGGGGACTGAATATCTGAGGGATTCCTTTGACATTAAGACAGAGGAAGTAGTTTTTGTCCTTCACCCTCAAGTTTCAGAAAAAATTGTACTAACTAAATGACCTCCTTTGTTAGAATTGCTAGAAGCTAGGGTTCTGGTAGGTGTATACCCATGCCTTACACAACACACAGATACAGATATCTAGGAGGAGTATTAAAGTTGGCATCTGCCAGGCTTTGTGGCACATACGTGTAACCTCAGCACTTGGAAGCAGAGGAGGGAGGATCACCTTGAGTTCAAGGCCATCCTGGCATATATAGTGAGTTCAAGGGTGGCCTGAAATACATCTGAAACCCTGTCTCTAAATAAATAAATAGTATTCTTTGAACTTTAAACAATTGTAAAGAATAATCACTGGCTGTAAATACCAACATTTACAAAATATCTTAATTGCGAAATCTAAAATATAAATGACAAAAAATAAAATGTATTAAAAATAAATACCATATCAAATTCTTACATACTATATAAATAATTTGAACAAAGAATCTTTAAAAAGGTAATCAGGATGTTCAAATTTGAACTCAGTAATAGATGATGCTAAAAACTGGTTTTATAAAACATAATGACAGCATTATGGCTATACCATATAAGAAAATACCTTGTGGCCTGCCTGAACTAGATAATGAGACACTGTCTCAAAAAAGAAAGAAGAGAGGGAAAGAGAGAGAGAGAAAAATAGCCATAATTTTTAGATATACATTCTGAGATACATAGAGGTAAAATGATACTTGGGATTTGCTCTACAGTAATTCAAGGAGGAAAGAAAGGGGGGGTACATGGAGCACATGTGGCAAAAGCTTGATAATTTCTAAGTTCGATGGTGGTTAAATGAGAGTTCTAGTGACTATACTGTACTTCTGTATGTTTGAAAATTTTCACAATAAAAATAAAAAAGTGGTGATAATGCAAGTAAAATCTGTATTCTGTGATAGCATCGAATACAGAAAGTACTTGTTTGCTGCTGTGTTTACATTTAGCAAATAAAATAGAAATTGTTCCTTGTACTATGTATTTTTTAATGACAAGTTTGGTTTAGTGAGATCAATGTACCTGTTGGTTGATTACATTAGTTTTTACTTAATTTTAGAGGAAATTTGAAAATGTGTTTATCCTATTTCCAGTAACAAAATGAACCACAAATAGTATTGCTTTGGAATAGTATTATACATTTTATGCTAGCTATTGTGTCGTCTTCATCCATTTTTTGGCTTAACACCCCCATCTCCCAGTACCACTAGAGATTAAACCTTTTGCATTTTTTGGGAGGAGGGTATTGGAAATTGAACTCAGGACCTTGTGCTTACCAAGCATGCGCATATGTTGCTGAGCTATATCCCTGGCCTCCCCCATTTTTATTTGTTTGTTTGTTTGTTTGTTTGTTTTGTCTTTTTCGTTTTTATCGGTATCAGGGATCAAACTCACAACTGCCTGCTTGCAAGGCACCATTTTTAAATTTTGAAACAGAATCTCTCTAAAGTTGCCCAGCCAGGGCTGAAACTCACCATTCTCCCTCAGTTTCCCAAAGTGCTGGGATTACAGGTGTGTGCCACCATGTCCAATTTTAATGTATTTTACTTTGAAAGCCTTACATCACCTTGGCGTAGTTATTTACAAAGTATATTATGTTTGTAAATAGAAACGTGTGAATAATTCTTTTCAGTAATCAGGCTCCTGCATATTGTCTTCCCAGTTAAGTTATTGTTAAAGCTATTAAATAGCTTTGTTCAACAAAGTAGCATTTACTATAACATATTACATTCATTTTAATAAAAAGGATATCCTGCTACATTTTTTCAAGTAGTTTTCTATTCATGGATGACAATTGTGGCTGCATTGAAACAGATTTCAGCACCAACTCTTAGTTATCATTTTTTAGAGGAAGTGCTGAGAGCCCTTGTTTACATAACTAGGTTGATGGGAAAGGAAGAGTTGTTACAGGATTGTCAGCTCTTGAAAATTTAGTTACATATGAAAAAATCATATCTCAAAAATAGTTTTAGGGGGCTGGGGATTTAGCTCAGTGGCATAAGCACCTGCCTTGCAAGTGTGCGGTCGTGAGTTCGATCCCTGGTACTGATAAAAACGAGAAAGACCAACAAAAAAAAAGTTTTTAAATGATCTCATAGCTAAAACTAAACCCTCTTTGAAAAGTTAAAAAAACACACACACAAATTAGAAACCTCTAGACTTCCCTTTTTTCAGGCATCTACTTTCTCAAGACTAGCACTAATACTTCCAGTAGTCTTTCATCACCCAGGAAGTTTTTATGCCCTAGTAAATTTCATGACAACTGAGAGTTTCATGATATGCCGCCTTATACACAGTGAGGAAAGGGTGGTTGGGAAAAAGGACCCAACAAAAAAGCCTTGAAGGCCAGAGCTATGTTGTTATACAGACAAATTTTTAGGGGAATCTATATGGGAAATTGAAGATCTGGACTTTGGTTGTTGTGTGACTGCCCCGTCCCATTGTATTCCATGATGACAGTGTCCCACTTTGCCCAGGTACATGCTTGTCCTCACTGTATACCACTGGTGAAATGCATTTGGGGTAGGAATTGATTGGTAGAGATTATGGGCTTATAAAATACACTTCAAGATTCCTTGAGAATTTAAAATTGTGCTTTCTGGCCCCAGTTGTCCAGTTTAATTAACTGCCTGAATTGAAATGAAATTATAAGGAATAACTAGTCTTCATTCTTGGTCAACTTTTCTTATGTCTGCATTTAACATATGAGGACTGTCTTTGCTTTTATGTCACTCCCAAACAACAGCTGCAGCATTCAACAAAATCTTGTTGCAAGATCAGTAATGAAGCCCAAGAAAAATACTTTGCTAAGATCTCTCCTTCCTAAGATACTTGTGTAACTGTTGTTATAACTGTGTATTCAGGGCTCCAAACAGATGAATAAAGAAAACAGTTAAGCTGGATTAGCATGAGGCAATCCTTGGAAAAAGACAAGCTTTTGGTTTTTGGTTTTTTGGTTTTTTTGTTTCTTTTTTGGTACCGAGGATCGAACTTGCAACCTCATGCTTACCGGGCAGACGCTTACACCACTGAGCTAAATCTCCAGCCCAGACAAACTCTTTTTATGTACTTCATGCACATAGGTGACATGTACAGCCACGATGGAAATGCCGATGAGCCAGAATGGGTAAAGACAGAGCGAGAACAGTTTGTTGAGTTTCGAGATAAGAACCGTGATGGGAAGATGGACAAGGAAGAGACCAAAGACTGGATCCTCCCCTCAGACTATGACCACGCAGAGGCGGAAGCTAGGCACCTAGTCTATGAGTCAGACCAAAATAAGGTAAGTCACGCCAGGCACAAGCAGTTTGGCGTGATTGAAGTTTGTTTCTAGGGGATTGCCTAAAAAAGTTTTACCAAGGTACATAGAGCATTTAAGGTCTTAATTAACCAAGGTCTGTAAGGGTCTAAATTTGGCTGTTGAAAACTTTCCAGGCAGCGCTAGCTCCCTGATCTCATTTTAGAAATCCTTTTGCCCAGTGCTCGAAAAGAGCTTCTCTATATAGACTGTACCAGCATGTAGCCCCTGTTACCTCTGGAGCCCCAGGAAATTTTCATGCTTTTTATTTCCTTTGTTATTTTACCTCTTACAGAATCATTCTATCTGCTCAAAGCTGATTATTATCTTCCTTAAAAATCAGATTCTGTACAGTAGGTTATAAACCAGCTTTTCTCTGGAGCCTATTAAAATTGTTCTTGATTATCTTAGACATTCAGTTCATTTTTTCTTAAAGATTTTTTGGGGAGGGTTGGGTTTTTTTTTTTTTTTTTTTTTTTTTTTTTGGCTTTCTCGTTTTTATCGGTACCAGGGATTGAACTCACGACTGCCTGCTTTCAAGGCCGGCGCTTATGCCGCTGAGCTAAATCCCCAGCCTCTGAGGGTTGGGTTTTTTGAGACAGTCTCACCGTGTAGTCTAGGCTGCCCTTGACTCCAATGACACCTGACTCATTCTGTTCATTGAGAGTAGTGTTATTTTATCACCTCGTTTTATAGTTGAGTCCTTTGTGTGGAATAAACTGAAAATCGATCTAAATTAATCTGCACTTTCTTACCTTAGAGCAGCGGTGGCAAACCTGGGACAAGCATGTCACACCCAGCTGTTGGTTATCATTGAATGCCTTAGTCACTAGCCAGGCATGGTGCTGCATGCCTGTAATGCCAGCACTCAGGCGGCTGAGGCAAGAGGATCACTGAGCTCGAGGCCAGCCTGAACTGCATAGTGAAACCCTGTCTCAAAAAAAAAGGAAGAAAGCTCTAAGGGTTTGGTATCACTGGCTTAGAACCTTTTTGAGTTCTTCCTCAGTCACTTCTGTAGCCAGATGCCATGTTGTGAGCTGTGTAAGGAAAGGAAATGTGAACAGTTGTCCCTTGGAAATCTCGCTACTGTTTGAAATGAGTGTGTGGCCTTTTGGGCTAGAGGGGAGGTGCAGGCTAGGCTGGATACTGACAGTCTCATTGCCCCTGTTAAACAGTAACTTGATTCACTTTGAAGTCTTTGTACTGATCTTTTCTCATCCATACTTTTCTCTAAAGAGAGAGTTTGCTTCTCAGGAAGTAAACCTGTATTTCTCTCCAGAAGTTAGTTGTTAAGTTAAATTGTGTCCATCCTTTCACTTTTTACCATTATTTTACCCCCACCATCCACTTTTTCTTATTAAGGGAAACAGTATTTTCTTTCTGTTTATGTGAGTGAGGGTTTGTGTGTAGGAGGGGTGAGGAGATGAGAGTTGAGTTCCCACTTAGTGGGAATTCAAATCTTAAATCTTAACTATTATTCTTTAGTGGTATTTCTGAATTTGGAATGGGAAATATATGCTACCTCAACTCAACTGTTCTTTCTAACTTCAGGATGGCAAGCTTACGAAGGAGGAGATTGTCGACAAGTATGATTTATTTGTGGGCAGCCAGGCCACAGATTTTGGGGAGGCCTTAGTACGACATGATGAGTTCTGAGCTGCATATAGAGGAACCCACGTCTCTTCAAAAGTAATTTATTTTTACAGCTTCTGGTTTCATATGAAATTGTTTGCGCTACTGAGACTGTTATTACAAACTTTTAAGACATAAAAAGGCATAATGGAATAAGGAAAACCATCCCGTCCCCATTCCTCCTCCTCCTCCTCAGGACTGGAGGGAAAATGTGCTTCTGAGGAACAACTCTACTTAATACACTTGTGTTTGTAGATTTACACTTTGTATAATGTATAACATGGTGTGCTTATTTTTGTATTTGTTCTCTAGTTGGGAGTATGATATGAAGGATTAAGATCCTCAACCCAAACATGTAGGCAAACATTAACCTTTACTCTTCCTCAATCCTTTATCATGTAATTTTTATAATGCTTACTTAACTAACTTTTTAAGCCTGAGATCAGTAAGAATATGTTCAGGAGAGAAAAAAGGAAAAATATATACTCCACAATTTACGTTTAAACATATTAACACTTAATCTTGCTGTTGAAAAACGTAGTATTTCACAAGTAGTAGTGGTTACATACTTCATTCAGTTGCTGTGGGTCCAGTAACTGATCATGCTGTTAGCTGGGCAGGGATAGATCCCTATGCTATAAGAAAACTTGGACCAACTTGACTTCATTCTTTTTTTCCCCTATAGGACTAGCTGTTTGCTAATTTTGTAAAGCACAGCTGTGGTGGGAAGAGTTAGGGCCAGTGACTCGAAAATCAAGTAGTGAGTGTGATCTCTTTACAGTTATTTCTAGCTCTTAATAGAGCTGTTGCCAGCTAGGAACAGCTGGAAAACTAAATGAAAAATACAAATGTGTTTTGAGCATACATTTTTTTTCTGGGTGTGCATCTGTAAAAATGCTCCAAACATAATTATTTGCCTGTTGAAATCACTGTAAGTGCTGCATCCAGCTCCTCTTCCCCGGGAATTGTGGTTTCACTGCAGTTAAAAATCACTCCTTTCCAATCGTGTCATTGAAAGTGCCTTTAATGAGAGAAATGATCATTGAATGAGAATTTAACCTTAGAAACCTAAGATAAAATAGAATATTTGGACAATTTTATATAAAAACTTAGGACCTCTCAATGCAGTGGGGATTTTTTTTCCTTCCTTTTCTCTTTGGACTGTAGTTAAATAGCAGTATTAGTTACAAGCTTGGTTGCAGTGTTCTTATCTTGTGGGCTGGTTTCCAAAAACCACATGCTGCTGACTTCACCAGGGATCCTCATACCTCAGATTGCAAACCACTCACTACCAGGCCCCTCTGTCGACCAGAGTGCAGAGTGTGAGCTCAGAACCCACAAAGAGGGCTCTTTGGTTTGAGGAACATTGTTCACCTTTCCTGCCTTTGACCTCCACCACCATCTCCACCTCCAAATGAAAAAAAAGTTAATCATAGATTAGCAATTGGCCAATTCCTAGCAAAGAGTAGGATGCTGTAGAAGAAGCTAAAGAAAGCTCTGTTTCCAACTCCATTTTACCCATATTTTATGTAAGATGAATTTTGTCCATTTTGGTCCGTTTCTTACCAGTGGGCCTCTTTTGAGAAGAATTATTGTATTCCAAGTCTTTAGCCCTCAGGTTATTAAGATAAATATATATATATAACCTTCATTATTTCCTGTATCTGGATAATGCATTCAGGTGGTGCTGGGTGATGATTATTTCTGAACCTAGGTGTATCCTTTGGTCTTCCATAATCCTGTTGAGGTAGGCTGCTTGGTGTGGTGAAGAACCAGAGTCATGTCACTTCACCCAGCCTTTGCATTGAGCTCTTGATAGTGGATGCAGTCTTCAGGTTTAACCCCAACAAAGGGTCATGGACCTTTTCTACCCTCACAGATTTCCCCTTTTTAATCGTTGAGAAGACCAGAGATAATTAATAATGCCACCGACCATGGCTTAGAGAGGGCACATCATGAACTGTGTGACAAGACAGCCTTGCAGCTCATAAGGTGCAGCGAGCCCAGGCTTGATGTGAAAATCACGAGTCAATAAACCATAACCTGCTAGGATGGCAGCTTCTGGATGTAGGGGATTCAGCAGCAAGGATTGTACTCTCTGTGAACGCCTTGGGGTTTTTGGTGTGTTTTTTTATTGTTTTTGGTTTACATCAAGCCTGAGGTGGGTGAACTATAGCTGCACACCCATAGTGTGTTCTACGAGTGCTAGCTCTCTTGAATTTGGATATTGGTTATTTTTTATAGAGTGTAAACCAAGTTTTATATTCTATAATGAAAACAGGTACCTGTTTCTAAATAAAACTATTTACATTTGTCGTGGGATAAGTGTCTTTCTCTTAGAACTCTATTGGCTGGGAATAGCTCCATAGGAAAACACTTGCCTGGCATGTGTGAGGCCTCAGTTCAATGCTTTGCATCACAAAAATGAAAAGAAATAGAACTTTAGCTTAGAATTATGTGTACTGCAGAAATGTAACAGAAAGGAAATTCTAGAAGGCTCACCATACCCGTCCAGACCCCAGAGAAAGTTGCCTTCTTCCAGACTGGCCACTCCTTTCCAGCTGATTCTGAGGTTTTCAGCGTTCCCTCATCAGCTGTAGCCCTTCTTCCTGGAGGCCAGATCACTAGAGAAGCCCAGCTACTCATTGCATAATTACCTGATCCCAACACATGACATTCTTCATGTGATAGATGCATGTTTTTATCTTGGTTTTTACCTCAGAAAAGAGGATACAAACTATAAAGCTTTTTTAAAAAAGTCACTTTGAAAGCTGGACATGGTGGGGTACACCTGTAAACCCAGCACTTGGGAGGCGGAGGCAGAGGAGGGTCACTCTGAGTTTGAGGCCAGCCTGAGGTACGTAGTAACACTGTCTCAAAAACACCAAAAAAGCCACTTGGTATACCTTACAAATGATAATAACATGCGATTTAATATTGAAGAGAATTAAGCTAATAACTTTAATAAATGTACAGGTTAAGACACTGGTTTAGCCATAAAGGAACAGGGAAGAGAAGCACCTAGAATAATTCACCTTAAGGGCTGGGGATTTAGCTCAGCGGCATAAGCACCTGCCTTGTAAGCAGGCAGTCGTGAGTTTGATCCCCGGTACCAATAAAAATGAAAAAGACAAAAAAAAATAATAATAATTCACCTTGGCCAGGAGTTTATGGATATGGCTGCCTCTACCAAGCCCAGAGCTGTAACAACTCTTGGCAGAATCAACATAAGGAAGTTATTTAAAACTCTCATTTGGGGCCTATCAAGGGGTTTTTGGGTTGGTTTCTTTTTTATGTCTCTCCCATTTCAGCGGTGTTTTCTTGGGACCACATATAGCTCAATGGTAATGTGGTTGCCCTAGCATTACGCAAGGTTCTCCAGCAGCACACAAGGTATCTTCAATTCATTCTAGTTCAGATTATATTACCTCAGAAAAGATCCCCAGAAAAAAAGAAAAAATTTTACTGAACAGGAAAATAAGTTATTCGTGCTGAAAAATCAACACTTTTACACAGTTATTTAAATAAGTGCCACTTAGGAGTAGATACTAGTGGTTGTTGAAATGGCATTTGGGTGGTCAGAAGTAGACCCAGCTGAGAACAGCTTTGCAGGCCAGGAGGGAGGGAATAGCAGGAAAACGAAGAATTGATTCTCCAAACTGCAGCTACTCATCCCACCTTTTTTTCTATGGTGTTAGTTTTTAATAAAGGAAGTAGAATCTTACATAAATGTGAACTTCTTTGCTGCAAACAGTCCAATGTGAGGGCCTTAGTTGGGGCCAACTTTGCTAGAAGAGACAGCAGAAACTTCGGTTTTCTGGGAGGTGGACATATCGGATTCATCTGCCATGGGCTTCCTACACACCAATTCCATGATACAAGCTCGGAACTGGAAGGGAAGGCAGGACTGGAGAAGGTCTCTTCGGTAGATGGATATAGTACAATAACATCAAGAGGTATGTGGGGAGGGGTTCATTCTATCCTCAAAGCCCCCAGGATCCACCTATTTCTTTGAACATGTCTTCCTCATCCTGAAAACTAGCAAAATTCTAGTCTAAAACTATTTGCTCCTGTGGACTAAAATTTGGAAGAGAAATGGTTAATAATGTGACATGCTAGAAATTTAGAACCCTTGATCTGTTTCTCAACAAAACCAATCCTTTTCATTTTTCATTCTACTCTGGAATAGTGGTATTTCTGGCTCAAGTTTTATCCTCCCCAGGTTTACCAAGGCCTTTCCTGGCCTGCCTGGTGGTTACTTGACAACTCTATGGCTCTCTTTTTCTGCCCCAGAAACCCTCTAGAGTCCAGAGTGCTCTGGACTAAATGGCACTGATGGGGAAATAGCTTTACCTGCTTGTTCATGAAGCAGTAGATGATAGGATTATAAATACAGGAGCTCTTGGAGAAGAAAGCAGGAATGGTGACAAGCCGTAAGTCCAGCCCATGGTTACGATTATTGACTATGTACATGGCCAGGGCAGCATAGGGCACATAGCAGACACAGAAGGATCCCACCATCACCACCACCATGCGGCTCACCTCCCGCTCAGCCTTCTGGGTTGTAGCTGATTCCTGCTGCTGAGCTGCCACCTGAGGCAGAAGCCACACAGTAAGTATCACAAACCTGGCTCCAAACTCGCAGATCTCTGGACCCTTTCCTACTGGGAACATTCACTCTTGATTGCCTCCCTTCTGCCAAATTCCTTTGGCTCTTCCTCAAGGAAAGCAGATGAAGGAGACTCTCTTGGTCTGCCACATTGGAAGGGACCACGTACATATAAGGCATAATCAAAACATGCTAAGTGGTTACAGTAAAAGCTTTGTCACTAATCCTCAAACTATTCCCCTTCACCCTGAGCACACCCATCATTCTTGCCTTTTTTTTTTTTTTTGTCTTTTTTTTTTTTTTTTTTTTTTTTTTTTTTGTCTTTTTGAGACAGAGTCTCACTATGCAGTTCAGGCTGGTCTTGAACTTGAAACGATCCTCCTGCCTCAGCCTCCCAAGTGCTGGGATTACAGGCACAAGCCACCACGCCCAACTACAATTCTTGCCATTTTTTGAAGCAATCCTAAAAGTCCTCTTTCAAATCTTTGGATACACTGTTGTTGCCTTGATATCTGAATCTTCAAAATATTTGCCTTTCATGGTCAATTTTTACTTAGGGAAAGAGCTGGAAGTCACACAGTGCCAGATCAGTGGATAAGGTGGCTGAGGACATACCGTAATGATTTTAAGAGCCTGATTTTCCAGTGGATGACTCTTGGTGGCAGTATACACTGGAAGACAACTTCCAGAAAGTTGTCTAAAACTGCCTCAGAAAGTGCCAAGAACAATGGGATAAATGGGGATTATCTTGAGGGGGATTAATGACTGTGTCTTTTATAGTAGTAACTTTTAAAAATTTATTCACTGTCTATTTTGATCACATCTTTTGACACCTGTTGAGCAGGGATGGTTTCACCTTATTCCTCATTTCATTTTATCTTTGTACCCCCACATCCTTCACTATTACATACATCTCTGTCTGGCCATAGACTTTTCCAGACATCTAAGAGCATCCACCACCTTTCTTCCCTCTCACCTGATGCCCCCCTGACCCTCTATAAAGCCACTCACAGTTCTGAGCGTCCTCAGCAGCTGACAGTAGGAAAAGCAGATGAGGGAGAGAGGCACGATGAAGCAAAAGATGAAAAGGAACCAGGCGAAATACTCGCTGCGATATTTGGTGCCCACGGTATACCAGTCAGGGCCACAGGAGCACTGCAGGCCCTCAGGCATGTACCTGCAAAGGGCCAAGCACGTGCTCAACTGTGGGCTCTTCAGAGGAAATCGTGGAGTGGGAGCTGAGACTCCTGGATTGTGTTCTCCACTTAGAAACTACAGAATGCCAGAAGGCTTCGGGCAGGGAGTTTTTTTGTTTTTTCCAGCAGAAGCTACAATAATTTCAAATGCAGAGTAAATGATACTCATCTTTTAAAGTCTACCCCACCACAGACTAAAAGGCTATTCCCACCCTTTCCACCCACATCAACCTGAGTTCCTAGTCAGGTCAGCACTACTCCCTTGTGCTCTCACCGGCTCCAGCCAAAGAAGGGGGGGATGGAGACACCAATACCAATGACCCAAGTAGCCAGGACAACGATCAATGCATGCTTGGAGCTGAAGCGGAAGTTGCCAAAGGGCTTACAGATGACAAGGTAGCGCTCAAAGGCCAGGAAGGCCAGTGACCAGCCTGTCACCATACCTGTGCCAAAATGTGAGGAGAATGGGTTGGACAGAGCTTCACCCAGCAGAGTAGAGTACAAATGGAGTGGAGCACACCCAGAGAGACAGAAGTTTGGACCAATGTCTAGAGTTAAGACCAAAACAATTGGACCAAACTTCTATGGGTTTAGGGGACCCCTCCACCCTCAAAATCTAGCCCCTTACTCCCTTACTCCAATCCTGGAGTAGTGTCCCTTACCTCCCTATAGTCTCCTTCCCCTGAAATACCTGCCACAGAGCCCAGGAAGCCCTCCAGAGCACAGACATGGCGGCCGAAGATGAAGTATCCATAACAGCTGGCGATGAAGACAGCAAGGACAGAGAATATGCAGACGAGAAAGCCCCCCAGGGACACATTGACCAGAATATAGTTGAGTGGCTGCCGCAACTTTTTGTACAGCAATGTGGCCACCAACACTATGCCATTGAGTGGTGTCCCTATACAGAAGACAATGCCCATGAAGGCTGCCTGAAGGCGGAAGGCCCAGACAGGAGCAACGTGGTACTGAGGCCCGTCCCACGGCCCCACTGAGGAGGCGTTCTTGAACAGATAAAAGTCCTCTTCCTCTGACATCTTGTTTATTGACTGTTTCTGTACCCCTGCAGCCCTCTTATAGATTATCCTTCTATCACATCCCCCTCCCTACAAAACCCCTCCTCTAAAGACATATTTGGGCTCTGTGCATGATCCTAAGTCTCCCAAGGACAAAGGCTGGGATTAGAAATCCCTAAGCCTCCACCTAAACCTTTTGTGGTCCCAAAGCCGATTGTGTATTCTTCAGAGGATGAAAGATTAGGGTCAAAGAACTTGAATGTGCAATGCCAGGAGCTGGGTGAGTCCATGTGGACTCTCTAAGGTTTGGGAAATTCTGACTCAAGGTCAGTGAAGACCATTTTGCCTTTCCTGCCCCCTACCTTTGTTTTTTCTGCCTCCAGGTAGCTACAGAAGATACTCTTCTCCCTTTGGTTTCTGACACACTGTATCCCTGAAGGTTTCTGTACCCTAACCCAAGCTTATCATAGGGAGCATCCCTAAAGCACCTTATGGAACAGGAAAGAGGCAACTGGACAGTGCCTGCGGGTCTACGGCATCCCTGAACCAGACTGCCTTCATTTCTTTGTGTTGGACCAGCCCACAGTGTAATTTTCCTGCTCAGACCGCTAGCCAGGTTGAGGTTGATCTTCTCACCACGTTTGTATCAATCACATTCATGCCAACCCCTGTCTTTGACTCAGCAGAACCAAAGTTGCCACCATCATCCTCCTGCCCATTCAGGTCCTGCCTGGCCTGTGCAAAGATCTCTTCTAAGAAGCCCATCTCATGGTACCATCTCTGCAAAGCCCCACCCACACCAGAACTCACTAGCCTACATGAATGTCTCTTCTTTGCATCCCCAGTAGATTGTAAAGAGGTAAGTTGAAGGTGAAACTTAAAAGTGAAAAGATGCTCCAGTATGATAGAATAGTTACTAGATGAGTCCTCAGAGGTAACAAACTATGAACTCTGGGCAGAATATATTAAAGACAGCTACTTTGAAATATCCAAAAACAAGACACAAATGGACTCAACTCTTCTTGGCTTTTTGGGAGGGCTGTTGTTTGTTTTGTTTTGTGGTACTGGCAGTTGAACTCAAGTCTTCACACTAAGCTACATTCCCAGCATTTTCTTTTTTTTTTGAGGTAGAGCCTTGCTAAATGTCCCAGTTTGGGTTGGAACTTTTGATCCTCTTGCCTCAGATTTCTAGAGTGCTGAGATTACAGGATTGCACCACCACAACTGAATGGAATCACCTACACTGAAGTGGATTTTTTTCCTGAGGACACTACCAGTACGAATGGCAAAGGACAGCTAGAACTCCATCAGAAAGTAGCCCTTCTTGTTTTAAGAGTCAGGGGACAAATTTCTGAACTTTTTTTTTCCTTTTTAGACAAGGTTTCACTATGCAGTTCAGGCTGGCCTGGAACTCACTTTGTAGCCCAGGCTGGCCCTGAACTCATAGCAATCTTCTGCCTCAGCCTCATGAGCATATTTCTGAACTTTTAAGCAGTTGAAAATTGAAAGCAGATTTCCTGGAATGAAGAAAGCTATAGAATGGGAAGTCTTAGCTGGGCATGATGGCACACACCTGTAATCCCAGAACTCTGGAAGGCTGAAACAGGAGGATCACAAGTTCAAATACAGCTTGGGCAATTTAGCAACTCAGCAAGATCCTGTCTCAAAAAATGTAACAAAGGATTAGAGATGTTGCTCAGTGCAGAGGTCCAGGTTCAACCCCCAATCCCCAATTTCTTCTTCAGAAATAAAGGGGGAGCCTTGTAATCTGCTTGTAAACTTTCCTCAAATGAAGCCCAACTGCTGCACTGTGACTGGAGGAATCTCCAGGGAGCCAGGATAAAAGCAACAGCTACAGGCCTAAAAAGGCTGAGCAAATTTTGACTGCTACCCACTGTAGCAGAAGAGACTCTATGTGAATCTCACTGAGTTAGAGCTGGGTAAACATCATGCTTTCCATTTGTAATTCCCCAAAAGCTGCCATGGTAGGACTAAAATCTGATCTACAGTAAAGATTTACCTGGAGGAAGGAGAAGCACCCTTTCCTGGCACCAAAGTCCAAGCACATTGCTAATAGAGACTGCCAACCTTGGCAGACCACCTTGCTTTAGGGCTTCTACTGACTGCAGGTTGTGTGTAAAGGACCCTGGGGGACCCTGGGAGACCCTCAAGCTATTCAGTGAAGACAGTGACCTTTGAGAATGTGGCTGTGAACTTCACCATGGAGGAGAAGGCTTTGCTGGATCCATCACAAAAGAAACTACAGAGATGTGATGTGGGAAACCTTAGAAATGTGGGTGGTATGGAAATGAAGATGTAGAGAAATGACATTAATATGAATTATGGTATCAACACAAAGAAATGGTTTTTTGGACTCTAGATGGTAATGTGTACATGAAAGTAATTGGTATGAAACCATGTGAAAGCTTTGCCTATAGAAAACTCCAATTGTACCCATCATAGCTACTACTGGACTTAAATCATCAGAGATTTGAAGAGAAGCTGTCTAACTATAGCAAACATAGGGAATCCTGCTCTGAATTCCAGTCATTTTGGAAGCATACTAAAACAGTTTCTAGAAAGAAAGCCATTATTCAATAAGCAATGTCTAAAATCCCACTCTGATTACACTGAAGAAATTAACAGAAAGAGAAGTTCTTTGAATACAAGCAAGATGTGAAAGCCTTTAGTACATTGAACTATGTTCAAATTCAAGAAAATATCATAGTGGAATGGATACATGTGTGTGCATACAGTGTCAAAAAAATTTCAGTTCTCACCATAATATTCAAATGCATGAAAGAGCTCACACTGGAGAAAAATACTAGGTAGAAGCAAGCACCTCCCCTCCCTGATAAGCAGTGGCAGTGTGGCAGACTGCAGCCCTTCCAGGGGGAGAGGAAACCAGCAATGTCTCCTGAGATCCTCACCATGCTGGAACTTCGGAGGATGGGAAGCCAAGCAAGCACCTCCCCTCCCTGATAAGCGGTGGCAGTGTGGCAGACTGCAGCCCTTCCAGGGGGAGAACTAGCAGCAGCTCCTGAGATCTGCACCATGTTGGAACTTAGGAGCTGTGAAACCAAACGACCAGCCTGCCTCCCTGCTAAGGAATAGTGAACCTACTGATACACAGCCTAGAGTCAAACATCCCACTTCCCCTCTCCCCCTTATCCTCCTCCCTCCCTGCGCCGCCCATTAGCAAATGGGAACCAGAAATCTGAGCATCTCCTGGGAGGCTGACCATAGCAAATAAGGGGCACTTCCTTCTACCATCTCTTTGAAGGCAAATATTTTTATTGCTGTTTTGCTCTATTCTGATTAATGGTACTGCTCTATTCAATATTCTGTTTTGATAAGTTCTATAATGTTCTGTATTTCATCTCATTTTGATATATGTGATTGAAAAAAACAACTATTATAAAGATAACGAAATATATTGTGGTATCTATTACTGTTATCCCGGTAAGCTGCTGTGAAGTTCTGTACCAATTTCACTGTACAATCTTAGTTGGCTTTATTCTGTCTTGTTCTGTTGTATACTTTCAAAATAAAATTTAAAAAAAGAAAAAGAAAAATACCTTGTATGTAACTACAGTGGGAAATCGTTAACTAGTAACTCTTCGTTAACTTCAAACTCTTCGTTTGAAAGAGCAGAAACTGAGAAGAAATGCTACATATGTAAGCAGTGTAGGAAAGCTTTCCAAAAACAGTGATTGTAGAAGACTCATACTGGGGAGAGACTATGTAAGCAGTGTGGGAAAGCACTTAGTACACAGAGGTATTGGCAAAATCATGAAAAGATTCACACTGGGGAGAAACGCTATGTATATACACAAGGTGGAAAAGCATTTGGCACACACAGGTATTGTCATAGACATGAAAGAACTCACACTAAGGAGAGGCTCTTACCTGTGCAAGCAATGTGGGAAAGTTTTCAAAGACACTGTCATTGTAAAAGACATGAAAGGACTCACAATGGGGAGAAACCCTACGTATGTAAGCAATGTGGGAATGCTTCTTGCACAAATAGTCACTGCAAAGCACATAAAAGAACTCACATTGGGGAGAAACTGTGTGTAAGCAATGTGGGAAAACTTTCATCACATGTGATGATTGTCCAATACATTAAATAATTCACACTGGAGAGAAACCCTATGTATCTAAGCACTGTGGGAAAGCTTTCAGTGCACAAGGTAACTGTCAAAATCATTAAAGAATTCACACAGGATAAATCCTATGTATATAAGCAATGTGAGAAAGCATTCTCCACAAAAGGTAGTTGTAAAAGACATGAAAATGCTCCCATTGAGGAGAAACCCTATGTACACAGCTCGTGTGGGATAGCTTTCTCCACCCAGAATAGTTGTCAAAATCATGAAAGAACTCACATTGCTGAGAAACTATATAAGTGATATGGGAAAGTTTTCAACAATAGTAATTGTGAAATACATTAAAAGGTACATTAGGGAGAAATTCTATTTATATAAACAATGCTGGGATGCTTTACACACTGGTGTTGTCAATTACATGAAACCAGTCGTACTCGGCAATATGCAGCAATTACCTTAAGCAAAGTGTAAAAGACTTCACAGTAAGCATCAGACATTAAAAAAGTAAGAAAAGGAATAGCTATGAATACATAAAATGTCTTGCACTGATACAAAAGGACTGACAGTGGAAAGAAGCCCTTTTGCTGTAGGCAATGTAAAAAAAATCTCTCAGTATACAGAGATATAATTACATATATGGAAAAATTCATAGTGAACCAGAATCTAAACATTATGTGAACAACATCAGAAATAATTCGTTTTTCTCAGTGCATCCTACTACATAAAAGAATTCACATGGGAGTGAAGCCATATGTAATCAAATGTGGGAAAGCACTCAGTTTTTCTACTTACCTTGAAATACATTAAACTCACACTAAAGGAAACCCTATGTAGATAAGGTGAGAAAGCATTTCATGATTTCCATCATCTTAGAACATGTACAAAAACTCTCAATGAGAGTTAGTATAAATACAGAATGTG